TTCTAAACTTTCACATGCTATCAGAGCAGGTCGGTCCACTTGGATCGATCCTGTGGGTGGACGTACCACCTCCTAGCTTCCGCTGCAACTACCTACTCTACTCACTGAGCCGCACGCCCCGTGGCGTGCGGCACTTTTTCTTCCCGCCGTGCGCCCCGAGGCGCGCGGCGGTTTTCTGCCCGCCGTGCGCCCCGAGGCGCGCGGCGGTTTTCTGCCGGCTGTGCGCCCCGAGGCGCGCGGCGGGCTTCTGCCCCGTCCCTCGGCGCGTCGCCCTCGGGAGGCGTTGCGACGGGCAACGGGGACCCGCGCGTCGCTCCCCGTCGCCCGTCGTGGCCTGCGCGCCGCCCGTACAGGCAGCGCGCGGCCCGTACGGGCTGCGCCAGGACCCGCGCGTCGCCCTGGCCATGCTGAGTCGCCCGTCGCGGCGCACCGAGGGCACGTGCACCGCCCCCCCCCCCCCCCCCCCCCCCCCCCCCCTTTTTCCCGTCGCCTGTCGAGGCGACCCTCGGGGGCCGCCTTGGGGGAGGGGGGCGAGCGCCGCCCCTTCTGCCGCCTGTTTTGGCGCCCTAGGAGGCCGCGCGTCGGTCCCCCCCCCCCCCTCCCCCTCCCCCGTACCCTCCCTACCCGCCATCCCGCCCTACCGGTGTTAGGGTTTGGGGGGTGGCGAGTATGGGGGTGGCAGTTGTGCATTCCTCCCTTTGCTCCTCCTCCTCCTTCGTCTCCCACTGCTGCAGCTGTCGCTGAGGGGGGTGGATGAGTGGGAGACTGGGGTTTAGGGTTTAAGGGGGGTGCGTGGGAGTGGAGCTAGCGGTGTAGCAGCGGGTGTGTGCCAGGGGGAGTGGGATAGTCTGGGGAAGCTGCATGGAGGTTGCCGTCGTGTCGCCAGCAGCACCTGTATTCCGGGGACTTCGCCCGGTAGCCAAGTCGTAGCCAGCTGTGCCAGCCGCCCGAGGGTCCGTTGCTCGTCTGCCGCTACTTTAGCCGCGGGGCCAGTTACTCCAGTATTCCGGGGGCTTCGTCCGGTAGCCGCTGTGCCAGTCTGCCTCCTGTTGCCCGTGTGTCTGCAGCTTCAGCCGTCACCTCCTATCTCCTCTCCTCTCACTCTCTCTCCTCCTCCTCACTTGCCCGTTGTGACTACCACTAGCTTTGCTCGTAATTGTGAACTTTAACCTATTGCCTCTTGAACTTGTGGTCAGAATGTGTGGTGACTTTGTGATCCACCCTGAGCTTGTACTGCTTTGCTTGCTCTACTGATTACACCCCACTTTGGCGATGGGGGTGTGTCAGGATGTTATCTTATGCTCTAGCCTGTAGTGGGGTGCTCTATAACGAGTACAACCCTTCTAGGGTTTGCTATTTGTATCCCCATTCTTGCTAGTGCAACCCTCTTCTCTCTTCTAAACTTTCACATTGGGTGCCTGGGTATACACTACTACGGGAATTACTGTTACAGGAGGCACATGACGGAGTTACCTTGGGGCATTCCGGAGTAGAAAAAACACGGCACCAGCTGCAGCGGTATTATTACTGGCCCGAAATGTTGACCGACGTACAACGACAGGTGGCATCGTGTCCCACTTGTTAGCTTATGAAATCATCAAGGCAGCGGCCGGCATGACAGTTGCAGCCGATACCACCTCCAGAGCGTGCTTGGCAGCAGGTGACGATGGACTTCGTCACGGGGTTACTGGCCGGGGCGAGTGGGAACGACGCGATCCTGGTCGTCGACGATTGACTGAAGAAAATGGCACATTTCGCAGCCAACAAAAAATCAATCACGGCCGAAGAAACAGCACGACTCTTCATCTCCACCGTCGTTCGACTGCACGGGATACCAGCAGCAATAATCAGTGACCGCGACATGTAATTCACCAGCAACTTCTGGCGGAACCTGTGGCAGCAGTTTGGCACACGACTGCAGTTCAGTTCATCATACCACCCCGAAACCGACAGACAGACAGAACGGACAAATCAGACCATGGAACAGCTCATCAGGGCCACGTGTGACGACCCAACCACGTGGGAACAGGAACCGCCACTCGTCGAATTCGCGTACAACAACTCGCCATCCGTCACGACCCAACAATCACAATTTTACCTAAACTACGGACAAGACCTGACAGTACCCATGACCCCGAATCCTGACAACCCAGTGCCACGAGCACAACAATTCGCCGAAATATTACAAGCAGCACGGACCCGGGCAGCAGATGCAATAAAAAAATCCAACATCATCGCTAAACGTAACGCCGACCGCCACCGCAGACCTGTCACTTACCAGCCCGACGACCTGGTTTTACTTGACATCCAGAACCTCCGCCTGCCCATCACCCCAAAACTCCACCCCCGATACTGTGGACCATTTCGCATCAGCCACACGATCACACCCGTCACCGCCCACCTCCTCCTCCCTGCTGACTTGTACGTCAGCCCCTCATTCCACGTCAGCCTGCTTTGCCCTTACGTCCCGTTCACAAGCCAACTGCCACGCACTCGCCCAGCCAGCATGATACGATCGCCAACTGAACCAATCATCACCCCCGAAAAAATCCCGAGCCACCGAATTCGTGACCCTCGAGGAGCCCAAAGGATTGAGTTCCTGATCCGCTGGAAAGACCGTACACCCACTGAAGACAATTGGGTTCCCCTAGACAGAATCGAAAACCACCCCGTCCTCACCGAGTATCTGCGCAGCCGAAACTTCAGGGGTGTACACGCACTTTCGTAAGGAGGACCTCCTTAGCAGGGGGGGTAGAGTAAGGAAAATTCCTTTTCCTTACTTCGCGTCCCCACTCAGCGCGTACACCACTGTAGCCCCACAGTCAGCACCGTTACCACTCGCAAATTTCGCATCGACAATCCTCCCGCCACCTTCGCACGTCGCACCCCGACCTCACGGCTCAGCGGGTAACCCGCGCTCCGGGCCTCCGCTTCGACACTTTTCCCAACCTCAGTCGCAGGCCCGTCACGCGACAACCACAGTCCATTACCGTTACCACTGTAGTATTGCTATATATTCTTAGCTCATGCCTTCTCTCTTTGTATTTTTTCTTCGATAGTGCAATTCTCGTTCCTTCAGTCAATTGCACCCGTAGCGGGGTGCAAGCTAGCGTGTCCAACGGCCGAAGTGACGTGTGCTGGAGTGCTGCCAAAAGCTTCCTGTGGTACACTCTACTCGAGGTGGCATTGGATTGGAGGAACGAAGGCCACAGTTACTGCTTCCATTCATGCGAACACGACGAAACAAATCACCAGAACTACATACGAATAATTCGCAAACCATTCTCAGCAGACCTTGTCGACTCGACCAAGGCTTGTCATTGCGATCGAAACCCACCTCTGTGCCTGCCTGTCACTGTCGCTTGCAGGTTCAAAAGTTCCCGCGGGACTGCTAGTGTCACTCCGGCGCAGGGCGGACCCTTTCGGCGTGGCCCTGCTCGCACAGATCCGCGTGACCGCGATACGAGCGCAGACATTCCACCACCCCGCCCCACCCCCGTTTCCGGTGTCGTCCAAGACCCAACTTCGCGGATATCCGCGAGTATCCGCGGAAGTTCCGCCATACACGAGGCACTCCCCATGCCCCTCCCAGCCCTGTCCTTTCCACGCGATGCCCCTGCTTGTTCCTCCCCTCCCATCCAGGGCTGTCGATATCCCTGGGGGCAGAACTTGAGGCCCCCAGCTGCTGAAATTCTGACCCTGATTTTCAGGGAGGAGACCAAATTTTCGCCCTTAACGGTCACGGGTGCAGGCCGAAGTGTAACTTGAAATCCGGGCTCCAATGTGTTGTGTACTTAACTTACCTAAACAACATCATAGAATGACACATCAGCCACCGTAGCTGCCTTAGAGGGGATATGCATTACTAGCTTTTGTAGCGCTCCCCTCAACCCTACAGTTACGACTGCCGATGTCTATACATTCTTGTAATGTATTTTGATATAAAAAAGATCATAGACAAGAAAATCACATACTTTTCACTACTAACTACTCGAGTCAACCTATATGTCACAACTTCCAACTACAACTACAGCTGCACTACCTATTGCATTTCTACTCATCTCCTGACTTAGACACTACACACACACTAGATTGGATAAAAATTGAGTGAAACATCCTCCACCTGGCGCCCTATTGTGGAACTTTCATGGAGAGGGGGGGTAGGGGAGGGGGGTGTTCCGCAAGATTTTAGGGGGGTGGTCTGCGGAACCGAAAGTAGAACTTAGATTCAGGGGATGGCCCAGATTGAGCATTTAACGCGTCCGGGGAAGGGCCAAACGATGCCCTTAACTGGCACGGGTGCCAGTCCAATCAAACCCTTAAAATGGTCGAGCTGCGCCAATCATAACCCGGAATGTTCAGGGCATTAAGGGCAAATGCCCTTGAATCGACAGCCCTGCTCCCATCCCTCACTCCTCTCCCTCCTCTCCCTCCTCTCCCTCCTCTCCCTCCTCTCCGTCCCCTCCATCAACTCCCTCCCTCCTCTTCCTCCTCTCTCCCCTCTCCCTCCTTCCTTTCCTCGTCTCTCTCCCATTCCACCCGTCCTCTCCGCTCCACCCCACTACACTTCTACAACCAACTTCGAATCCTCCGCCATTGCATTATCTGCCTCTAACCATCCACCATCGACCCTGCTTTCCCTCTGCCTCACGGATTGTCTTGCATTGCAGATGCAGCATAGAGAAGCGTGGACTTGTCTTGGTTTTGTTTTGTAACCGCTGCTTTCGACTCTGGTAGTAACGTTTCTATTGTCCGATGGCATTAATGGCTATTAGTTAATCCTGTTTCAAGCCTTACCCGCTTTGACTATTGTGGTGTTACTTTCTTTCGGTTTTTAGCTGGTTTTGCTTGGTGTTGCTAAGCTTTAGGTCCGACCCAAACGTCCTAGTTAGCCCTTTCTTCACTCGCAGCATCCTATTTTGCTATCGTGTACAACGTTAACTTAGCCTCCGGCGCTACCGCAAACAGTTCGTCGTCGTTAGTTTCTGACGGTTTCAGTCATGTCGACGTCAACCGCGTCGCGCGTGTTCTCGGCAGACGACGACGACGCGAGGTCGAATTCGTCCGGCGAAATGGACGGATCGCTGAGCGACGACGAGGTGACGCAGCAGCGCCTGCACAGTCGCCCGCAGCTCGCGACGACGGCGGAGGATCTTACCGCGAACCTTCCCGACGATTGCCTCGTGCACGTGTTCCGGAAGCTCGGAACGTCGGATCTTGCCAGATGCTCCTTGGTGTGCAGGCGCTGGTTCATGTAAGTGAGTCCATTTCGTCGAGGCTATATACTCCCTGGTGTCGCGCTCGTCTCGTCAGCGTGTTCATGTAGGGAAATCTGGCTTTTCGTAGCATGGCGTTTGTTTATAGATTGGAGTCACCTTAGAGAATGCTAGAAAGAGCTTCAGGCTCTTCGTATTATGCCGTTTGCCAATGACTTCGTTTCCGTCTGCGTACCTCGCGCCGTTGTACGTTAGCGACTTGGGATGCCTTCATTTACGTAGGCGAACCATGTGTGTGGGAATCGTTTAACGATGTCAGATACTCATACGTACACGTGCTTTGATAAAGCGGCATACCCGCAAGTTAGATATATTGAATAATTTTCTCTCTTATTCACGGCGTACGAGATAGTACAGTCCAGCTTTTCTGATTCCGTGTCTAGCGGGATGCTAGCTCGTGTACGTTGTGGTGAGGACGCTGAAGTTTGCCCACACCAGAGTCTCACCACCCCCTCTCCTCCGTCGTCTCTCTCTCCGGTCTTTTCGAGGTGGCTTTTGAGTCGACTCAAAAGTCACCTTGCTGAAATTTGCCCACGCCAGAGTCTCACCACCCACTCTTCTCCCTCGTCTCTCGTTCCGGCCGTTTCTTTCGCAGGCTGGAGGCGGAAACGCGACCAAGCATGTCGCTGCGCGCGACTCTAGACGCCGCTCCGGTCCTCGCGAGCCTGTCCACGCGGCTCGCCGGCGTGCAAAAGCTGGTGTTGAAATTCTAGATTGCTCCTCCCCTCCTTCTTCCCCCTTCCCTCGTTCCCTGCGATTCCTTCACAGGTTAGACGCGGAGACCAGGCCAAGCATGTCGCTGCGCGCGACTCTAGACGCCGCTCCGGACCTCGCGAGCCTGTTCAGGCGGTTCACGGGCGTGCAGAAGCTGGTGCTGAAATGCGAGCGCAACGTGCTGAGCATCGATGACGCGTCCTTGGATACCATCGCCCGGCAGTGCGTTTACCTGCGGAAACTCAAACTCAAGAACTGCCGACAGGTGAGGATGGTGGTGTGGGAGGGAGTGTGGGAGCATGTGGGAGGGAGGTGAGGGGTGGAAGCTCATGCGGAAATGCGAGCGCAACGTTCTGAGCATCGATGACGCGTCCTTGGATACCATCGCCCGGCAGTGCGTGTACCTACGGAAACTCAAACTTAAGAACTGCCGACAGGTGAGTGGAGGGGGAGAGAGTGTGGGAGCCTGCAGGGAGGGCATGAGCTGTGGCAATGGTTTCCAAGCACTCTCAACTCCTGTGAACCACTCTATATTCCTCTCACCAACACCAGACTACGGACGATGGCATGGAGAAGGTTCACCCGTGCCTGTCCGGAGCTTCAAGGCTCCTTAAAAGCAAATCTTTGCCCTCCCTTGAGTCCCTCTCAACTCTTTCCACCCCTCTGAATTCCTCTGAACGCCTCTGTACTCTGCTCGCCACCAGATCACGGACGATGGCATGGAGAGGTTCGCCCAGGCCTGTCCGGAGCTTCGGAAGTTCTCGTGTGGGAGCTGCGGGTTCGGGCTGAGGGGGCTCAACGCCCTGCTCAATGGCTGCATCCACCTTGAGGACTTAACCGTCAAACGAAGGTACAAATGGAGTGTCTGGGTGGAAAATCAAAGACATCAATACTCTCATTGCCTAATGACCGTGGTACGCCCATTTTTGCTTTTGTCCGACTCGATCTCTCCCCACGCGCACCTCTTGCTGAAGTGCCTGTCTCTGAAGAGCCTCTGCTTGTATACATTCTCTCTCGTGCATCCCTGCATGTTATTAGAAAACACCTCTTCCCCGTATTCCCCTTTCCTCCCCCCGCCCATCCCTCTTCCCCCATTTCCCCTTTCTCCCCTGTTATGTCATCCTGTCCCCCCTTCCCCGCACCCCCCCTCCCAGCCTGCACCCCTCATTGCCTAAAGACCGCGTCACGCAGATCCCACACGTGTCGGACTCGCTCTCTCCTCCGGCCAACCTCTCTCTGAAGTGCCTCTGCTCGTATGGATGCTCACGTTGCCTCCACCCTTTCCCCCCTTCCCCCCCTCCCCCCCTCCCAGCCTGCACCCCTCATTGCCTAAAGACCGCGTCACGCAGATCCCACACGTGTCGGACTCGCTCTCTCCACCGGCCAACCTCTCTCTGAAGCGCCTCTGCCTCAAGGACCAACGCCAGTCACACATCTGGGTGCCGCTGCTGCAGGTGAGCGTGAATTTCCCTCCTTCTCCCCCTTCCTCTCCCACCTTTTCCTCCCGTCTTCCCACTCTCCACCTTGACCCCGTCCAACTCTCCTCCGGCCAACCTCTCTCTGAAGCGCCTCTGCCTCAAGGACCAACGCCAGTCACACATCTGGGTGCCGCTGCTGCAGGTGAGCGTGAATTTCCCTCCTCCTCCCCCTTCCTCTCCCACCTTTTCCTCCCGTCTTCCCACTCTCCACCTTGACCCCTTCCAACTCTCCTCCGGCCAACCTCTCTCTGAAGCGCCTCTGCCTCAAGGACCAACGCCAGTCACACATCTGGGTGCCGCTGCTGCAGGTGAGCGTGAATTTCCCTCCTCCTCCCCCTTCCTCTCCCACCTTTTCCTCCCGTCTTCCCACTCTCCACCTTGACCCCTTCCAACTCTCCTCCGGCCAACCTCTCTCTGAAGCGCCTCTGCCTCAAGGACCAACGCCAGTCACACATCTGGGTGCCGCTGCTGCAGGTGAGCGTGAATTTCCCTCCTCCTCCCCCTTCCTCTCCCACCTTTTCCTCCCGTCTTCCCACTCTCCACCTTGACCCCTTCCAACTCTCCTCCGGCCAACCTCTCTCTGAAGCGCCTCTGCCTCAAGGACCAACGCCAGTCACACATCTGGGTGCCGCTGCTGCAGGTGAGCGTGAATTTCCCTCCTCCTCCCCCTTCCTCTCCCACCTTTTCCTCCCGTCTTCCCACTCTCCACCTTGACCCCTTCCCAACTCTGCTCCGGCCAACCTCTCTCTGAAGCGCCTCTGCCTCAAGGACTAACGCCAGTCACACATCTGGGTGCCGCTGCTGCAGGTGAGCGTGAATTTCCCTCCTCCTCCCCCTTCCTCTCCCACCTTTTCCTCCCGTCTTCCCACTCTCCACCTTGACCCCTTCCCAACTCTCCTCCGGCCAACCTCTCTCTGAAGCGCCTCTGCCTTAAGGACCAACGCCAGTCACACATCTGGGTGCCGCTGCTGCAGGTAAGCGTGTTTCCTTCCCGCCCTTCCCCTGCCCGCCCTCCCCTCCGCTGCTGCAGGTGAGCGTGTTCCCCTTCTCGTGGTCGTTAAGTAGTCACACTAATGGTTTTTGCTGTTGCTGCTGCATGCCACATCAAGGCCAGGAACCCTCGTCCTGGCGCGCAACACAGGGCACTGGGATCAAGTGCTTTTGCTGGGTATCTCACTCCTCTCCGACTCTCCTTTCCTACCTTCTGTCACATTGTTTCTGCTGCTGCAGGCCACGTCGAGGCTAGAAACCCTAATTTTGGCACGGAATGCGGGGCACTGGGACCAGGTGCTCGGTAGCTCTCTCAGGGAGAAGCTCACTCCGGAGCTGTCTCAGGTGAGAGTCAGGTGTATCTTCAGGGTGGTATCAGGTGTTTAAAGGTGACCCCAGAGCTCTCTCAGGTGAGTGTCAGGTGTATCTTCAGGTGAATCTGGTAATATCAGGTGTAAGGTGCACTGGGACCAGGTGAAGGGGATCGCAGTGCATCGGCAAGTGTCCCAAGCTGGAGGCGTTGGTGATGGTGCACACCAACGAGTGCACCGATGCCAGCATGGCGGCTGTAGCAGCCGGCTGTAGCAACTCTTGCCTGCCTGTCCCCTTCCCTGCCCCCCCACAGATATAGAGGGTGCAGATAACGGACAAGGGACTTCAGTGCATCGGGAAATGCCCCAAGCTAGAGGCGCTGGTGGTGGTGCGCACACCGGAGTGCACTGATGCCAGCATGGCGGCTGTAGCAGCGGGCTGTAGCGATCTTCGCCCCTGTCCCTTCAAGCTTCTGCTTCCCCCTCACCCCCACAATCCGCCTTCTTCAACCCCTCTCTCCCCCACTTCTTCAACCCCCCTTCCCCCCATCTTCACCCCCCGACCCCCCACCCCCCTCAACCCAGATTTACGTGGAGAGGGTGCAGATAACGGACAAGGGACTTCAGTGCATCGGCAAGTGCCCCAAGCTAGAGGCGCTGGTGGTGGTGCGCACACCCGAGTGTACTGATGCCGGCATGGCGGCTGTAGCAGCCGGCTGTAGCGGGCTGAAGAGGCTGCACGTGGAGGGGTGGGCGCCGGGGCATCTGGGCGACCCGGGGCTGTCAGCGATCGCCAGGCACTGCCGGCAGCTGCAGGTGGGTGGGTCAGTGTGTCGACTGTAGCAACTGGGGCAAGAATGAAGGTGTGAGGTAGAAGGGCTGAAGAGGCTGCACGTGGAGGGGTGGGCGCCGGGGCATCTGGGCGACCCGGGGCTGTCAGCGATTGTCAGGCACTGCCGGCAGCTGCAGGTGGGTCAGTGAGGTGGGGTGGTGCTTATGAGCACCAACTTATGAGCTCCAGCCCGTGAGCTCCAGCCTGTGAACACCATGGGCTCCGAAACTACAATCGTGAAATGGACACGCTTTCAGCGACGAGGCTCATTTCCCCGAGTTTTTCCACTCCCCTTGTCTTACCTTCCCCCCCCACCCCCCTCCTTCCCTCGGATCTGTGCTCATGAGGCGCCTCAAAAGAGTGTTTCCACTCCCCTTGTCTTACCTTCCCCCCCCACCCCCCTCCTTCCCTCGGATCTGTGCTCATGAGGCGCCTCAAAAGAGTGTTTCCACTCCCCTTGTCTTACCTTCCCCCCCCACCCCCCTCCTTCCCTCTTTTCTCCCTGTCTGCCGTCTCTCCTATCTTCAGGAGCTGCTGCTGGTGTCCCATGCCTGCACCGTCTCTTCTCTCCAACTGCTCGCCTCCAACTGCCCTTCCTTAGAGCGCCTCACGCTCTGCTCAGGCCACAACATGGGAGACCCAGAGCTCGCCACCCTCGCCTACTCCTGCTCCAACCTCCGCCGCCTCTGCGTGAAAGCCTGTAACAAGGTTACTGACCTCGGGATTTACGCGCTCGCGAATGGGTGCCCGAGCCTGCAGCGGCTGAAGGTGAGGCGGTGCCCGGCTGTTTCGGCGCATTCGCTGAGTGTTCTGCAGGAGCAGAGGCCGACGTTGGTGATTACGCAGGAGAGGAGTCGGGGCGGGGTGGGGAGAGGGGGGGAGAGAGGGGAAGGGAGGGAGGGCGGTGGGGGGAGGAGAGAGGGTGGAGGAAGGGGAGAGGGAGGGGCTGTTGTTGTTGGTGGTGGTGCTGGCGGTGCTGGTGGTGATGGTGATGGTGCAGATGGGGGGGTTGGGGGTGGTGCGGGTGGGGGTGGTTTGGGTGGGTTGCTGGGTGAGGGATTTCAGCTTCGGAATCTTGGAGAGAGAATAGGGCTGTTGGGAATGGGTGGGGGAGGTTGGGGGGGAGCAGGGGCAGCAGGAGGAGAAGGAAGGGGTTTGGTTCACCAGCAGCAGCAGCAGCAGCAGCAGCAGCAGCACCACGATCATCAGCTTGAGCATCACCACCATCACCATCAGACCCAGAACCGTGTGCAAGGGAGAGGGATGGGGGGAGGAGCTGGGGGGAACGGTGCTTCTGCCCTTGGTGTCGCTGGTAATGGGGAGGGCGGTGGTGGTGATGGTGATGGCATTGGTGGTATTGGTGGTGGTGGTGTGAGGAATGTTTCTCCCTTGCGGGCTGGTGGTCTGCTTAGATTGGCGTCAGCAGGAGATGCCAGGCGTGGTGCTGGTACTGCCGCTGCCGCTGGTGCTGGTGCTGGTGATGCTGACGCGTGTTTAGCAGCGGCTGCGGCAGCAGGAAGAGGTGGAGCAGGAGCAGGGCCAAGAGGGGCGCAAAGGTTCGCCTCATTCGTCACAGGCACGCTGAGGAGGTTTTTGGGGCAGCCCTCCCCTTCCTCACCTTGTGGAGGTTGGGGAACAGAAGGAGGTTCGGGTACAGGAGCTGGAGGTCCGGGAACGGCTGTACGTACGGGTATGGAGGCCTCGGATCTTGCTGAGCTGGCAGGTTCGGGAAGTCCAGGCGCGGTGGGTAACAATCGCAATAACCCCTATAATATTGGGTCAAGCAGGACTCACGACAACAACATCACTGGTGCTGCTTTTACTAGTAGCACCAGTGCTCGCACTGCTGCTGCTGCAGCTGCCGCTGCTGCTGTTGCGGGTGGTGGTGGTGGGGGGTTTGGTCGAGGCGGTGGGGGTGGGAGCAGCAGCAATGCTGGCCCAAGCAGAGCCAACAGTGGTTGGACGTACGTCACTCCCTCTGGTAGCGTTTCAGCTGCAGCTGCTGGTGGTTCCAATCCTGCTGGCAGTGTGACCGCGGGTCCTGCACGTGCGCATCGTTCCAGCAGCATCAGCAGCAGCAGGTCCCCTTTAAGATCCCCTTTGGGGTCTCCTAGGCGATCACCCTTGAGAGGCTCGTCTTTGACTGCGGGGGCTGATGTTGCTGGGCCAAGCACCACCAGCACCAGCAGCAGCACCACCGGCGCCAACCACAGCAGCAGGTCCCCTTTGAGGTCGCCCATGGGATCGTTTTTTAGAAGCAGTGCTTCTGTGGGGTGTGATGGAGCGGGAGGGAGTGGAGGGAGTGGTGGGGAAGCAGGGAGGGAGTCCGGGGCGGGGAGAGGTTATAGGGCTCGCCCTCTCACGCCCCCGCTGCACCTCCCGCTGCGGTCTTCCCCCTCGCCTGTGCCTGCTCGCCCTGCTGAAGCCCCACCCCGACTCACTGGCAGCGCTAGCGGCACTGGTGGCAGTGGTGGCAGTGGTGAGGGTGGTAGCAGCAGCAGCAGCGGTGGGGGGGGTGGTGGGGGGGAAACTGGGGGTGTGGGAAGGGAAAGAGTGATTGAAGGAGGTTGTGCAGCAGGTTTGGCTGCAAGTTCGGAGGCAGGTTTGGGGGCAGGTTTGGGGGTAGGCGGGGTAGGCAGAGGGTCAGGCACAGAGCAGGGAGCAGGAGGTGAGAGAAGGACAGAGAGTGTGGTTGGAGCAGAGGGGTTGAGGGAAACAGAGGCGGGTGGGGCTGCTAGGGGGTTACCAGAAGCAGCAGGGGCGGCTGGGCAATTGGTGGCCCTTGGGATCAGGGAAAGAGAGTGGGCTACTGTTATGGCTGGTGGTGCTGCTGGTGATGGTGCTGGTGGTGGGGCGCAAATGGGTAACTGGGAGCATGGTGTAGGAGATACAGAAGAGCAGGTGCAAGGGTTTGGGGAGGGGATGAATGGGATGCAGAGATAATGATGCAGCGATAAGAGGAATTGGGTTTAGCAAGCACTGCATGGAGGGAAAAGCGGACGCTAGAGTGCAACTCGGTGCACTCGAATGCGCAAGGTTTTAACGAGGTAAAATAGGGTGGATGGAATATGGTTGCAGTAGGGTTGGATGAAAAAGCCTGCAAACTGTCCGTGCCTTTGGCACGGGCAAATTGCTCCAAGATTTGAGAGGTGCGGTGCAGTATTGATAGGTGTATTACATGCGCTACTAGTTTTAATTCTGTGCAGATTTCTGCACGTATAGAGTGAGTTATGTTAATATGCTAGTATATTTAGCACTGTATTTTCAGAAATCTTATTTCCGGAATTTTACAGTTTGGTACCTATGATGAAGTGAATTGTGTTGGTATTTTTTTCGCTCGAATACATAAATAATGTCCTTCAACGAGACCTGCACCTCGATATTGTCTCGCGCCTTGATATTACCCTAAGCCTTTCTGATCAGCACTTACTTCCGCCTCCTAAGCGAGGCTTTTGATCTCCACCACATCACCTCCTGAAGTTGCGGTGGTTTCTGCGGCGCGCCGCATCCGTCGCCGCCCGCCAAAAGCTAATCCCCTCTTTTGCTTCTACGCAGCGTCTTGTGTCCGTTTGAAGAGCCTCGGAATTCCGCTCTGATCTTACCTGCCTTATTCCACTGAGAGAATGCCGACCGTTAGCGTGGGTCGCGATCGGCTCTTCGCCGCGCTCGGCAAAACTTACAGTGAGTCGTCAAACTACCAATGTGAGGTGACTAACCTTTTACGGCGCCCTAGTAGTTACGTATTAGTGTGGATCACGTAATCTCGTGTGAGTCGATATTTAGTGTGCGTCGTCACACGGTCTCTGGTTTTGGTGTTTTGAACCTGATGAAGTGTGCTTCAGGGGGAAAATATCGCGTGTTTAGAAAGTCGTAACCCTTCGCGAGTCATGGTTCGGAATCGTGTCAAGTTAGCGAAGAACCCTACATCGGGAGTACGGACACCTCCCCCTCCAGGATTTTCGTTTCAACAGCATCACTTTCCCTCCGTGAGTTTCTGTACGATGAAGTTATGGAGCTAGTGCGCAGTTTCCCTCGTTTGTCACGAAGCTTCCCTCCTCCATCAGCTTTCGCCGTTCGTTTTCCAGCAGACAGACTTCGTTCACTGAATTCTGTGTAGCAGATAGATTTCGTTCGCTGGATTTGGTGCAGTGCTAGTATTTTTTAGTGCGTCATTGGCTCTGATTCTGTCAGGCGGTTGCTGATCCTGTCAGGTGGTTACTGATCCTGTCAGGCGGTTGCTGATCCTGTCAGGTGGTTACTGATCCTGTCAGGCGGTTACTGATCCTGTCAGGCGGTTACTGATCCTGTCAGGTCGTTACTGATCCTGTCAGGTCGTTACTGATCCTGTCAGGTCGTTACTGATCCTGTCAGGTGGTTGTTGATTCTGTCAGTTGGTTATGAATTCCGTTTCGGGTGGTTGCTGATTCGTCTGACACTCCTCGCCTCCGCTCTTCGTCACATTCCTTTCCCTTCCTCGCATTGCCTGATCTCTCCTCTCCGCTACATCTGTGCGTCCGTTGGTATGATCGTTCAGCGGAGGAGGAATTCGATGAGCTCTGCTTCGAGTTCAGCATCGAGCTTTCTCTTCCCACATTCCCCACATTCCCCACATTGCCTGATCCCTGCTCTCCCCCTCTCATTCCCGTGTGTCTGTCTGTCTGTCCGTATGATCGTTCAGCGGAGGAGGAATTTGATGAGCTCTGTTTCGAGTTCGGCATCGAGCTTGATGATGTGGTGAGTGTGATGCTGTGATGTGCTGTGATGTGACTGTAAAGAGAGCTCTGCTTCGTGTTCGGCATTGAGCTTGATGATGTGGTGAATGTGACTGTAAGGAGAGGTGGGAGATGTATCCAGCCAGTTTGTTTAATGATGATACGGAGCTTGATGACGTGCTGAGTGTGATGTGACTGTAGAGAGAGCTCGGTGACTCAGTCAGCGCGTGATGACGTGATGGTAACTTGAAACTCGAAAGGATAACCATCAAGGTGCCTGCTAACCGCTACGACCTGCTCTGCTGGGAGGGGCTGCTGTACGTCTCTTACTCTCATACCCTCCCATTCTCTCGTCCAGACAACAGGGAAGGCAATAATCCGCAAGGAGAAGCATTTAACGGACGAGGGTCCCTCGGAGGACGAGGAGGTGATTTACAATATTGATGTGCCTGCCAACCACTACGACCTGCTGTGCCTGCCTCCAGGGGCCGCAGCCTGCCATCTCTTATTCTCCTGCCCCCGTGTTCTCCCCCTCCTTTCCACAGACCACAGAGAAGGCGATCATTCGCAAGGAGAAACACCTGGCGGATGAATCACCTTCAGAGGACGAGGAGGTGATCTACAAGATCGAGGTGCCTGCCAACCGCTGCTTCCCAAACCCCCTCCCCTGCCGGCCTTCAGACCACAGAGAAGGCTATTATCCGCAAGGAGAAGCACCTAACGGACGAGGTTCCAGCGGAGGACGAGGAGGTGATCTACAAGATCGAGGTGCCTGCCAACCGCTACGACCTGCTGTGCCTGGAGGGGCTGGCCCGCTCGCTGCGCATCTTCCTGGAAATGGACCCTGTGCCCCAGTTCAAGCTCGCTGCTGCTGCCAGCCCCATCCGCATGACTGTCACGCCTGAGGTGAGCAGGGAGCTGGGTGCTAGAGTTGAGTAGGCCTCTGTAGAGCCCTCTCTCAGCCAGCACTGCTGAGAATTCTCAAAAGTCGTACCAATAGAGCCCTCTCTCAGCCAGCACTGCTACGACCTGCTGTGCCTGGCCTGGATGGTCTGGCCCGCTCGCTGCGCATCTCCCTCCCTCGGCATGGATCCTGTTTCTCAGCACCGCTGCAACGGTTTCATGCTTGCTGCGTGCCATCTCTCTCGTCTCCTCTTCCCCCTGCGCCATTCCCACCCTGCCCCCTTGCCCACCCTGTGAGCCCACACAGACGGCCCTGATCCGCCCTTTTGTGGTGGGGCCAGTGCTGCGCAGTGTCACATTCAACCAGCAGCTTACCCTTCTCCTCTCCCATTTCCCTACACCACTCCTTGTCCCCACCCGTCCCCCAACCTTCTGCGAACCACACAGACGGCCCTGATCCGCCCCTTCGTGGTTGGGGCAGTGCTGCGCAATATCACGTTCGACCAGCACCGCTACAACAGCTTCATCGACCTGCAAGACAGGCTGCACCAGAACCTGTGCCGGTGAGATGCCTTACGCTGCGAGTAACATTTGTCTGCCAGTGTTGTTACTCTCACGTTTCACCAGCACCGCTACAACAGCTTCATCGACCTGCAAGACAGGCTGCACCAGAACCTGTGCCGGTGAGATTCCGTGCTGCTGCGCTTTCCTTCCCCCATCCTCCACACACCCCACCATACCCACCCAATGCTCACTCCATACCCAACGCACGCGTACCTGTCCATTTCAACCCAACCCCAAACCCACCAATCCATTTTTATCCTCCCACCCCCCACCCGCGTCCTCCCCTCTCCCCTCCTCGCAACAGTCGCCGCACGCTTGTGGCGATCGGGACACATGACCTAGACACGCTCACACCACCCTTCACGTATGAGGTGGGTGGATTGGGGCAGATATGGATTAAGGCTGGCAGGTATGCTATGGAATAGGCGAGGCAGGTATGCTATGGAATAGGCGAGGCAGGTATGCTATGGAATAGGCGAGGCAGGTATGCTATGGAATAGGCGAGGCAGGTATGCTATGGAATAGGCGAGGCAGGTATGCTATGGAATAGGCGAGGCAGGTATGCTATGGAATAGGCGAGGCAGGTATGCTATGGAATAGGCGAGGCAGGTATGCTATGGAATAGGCGAGGCAGGTATGCTATGGAATAGGCGAGGCAGGTATGGCCTAGAGTCGCCGCACGCTTGTGGCGATTGGGACACACGACCTCGACACACTTACACCACCCTTCACTTATGAGGTGGGTGGGTTGGGGCAGATATGGGCTATGCGAGGCGGGTGTGGGTTACAGTTCAGGCACACTTGTGGTAGTAGGTACCCTGTGTTCATCACTCACTCCTCCACTCGGTCTTGTTCTCCCCGCTTTCTTCCAATCCACCAAGTCGCCTCCCTCTCCTCTCCACAGCCAATCCCTCACTCTCCCCCTCCCCTCCCCACTCCCCCCCCCTCCCCTCCCCACTCCCCCCCCTCCCCTCCCCTCCTTTCGCCCCAAATTTTTCCACGGTTCCCTCATTTCACTCCTCGTTGGTTCATTGCCTTTTTTCCTTGCGTCATCACCTTTGTTCCGTTTTTTCATCCTTGTTTCTTCATCGTGTCACCGCCTGTCTTCCTTGTTTCTTCCCTGCCTTCCATCCCACTGCAGGCCCTACCTCCCACGGAGATCAAGTTTGTGCCACTCAAGCAGGTGCCAACCTCCATCCGAACCCTCCTGCACCCTGCTCCACCCATTTCACCACCCACACCACCGCTCTAGCTTCTGCTCCATACGTGACTACTCAGTGACACTATACGACCAGCCTAGCACCTCCCCACCACCCAGATTTGGCGAGTTAGAAACTGGCTCTGCATGACTTTCTTTCCGCTCGCTGCTGTGTTTTGTTTGCCATCTCCTGACTGGGCTTCTTTTGCCTTGTTTCTGTTTGTTTGTTTGTTTTTTTCCCCTCTATTTCTGTACTCATTTCCATTTTTCCGCTCCCCTTTCCCGCTGACATCAGACCAAGGAGTTCAATGCTGCTGAGCTCATGGAGTTTTACAAGGTAACTATATGCATGAAAGAATGCACAGTACACTGCCATGCGTAATACAAGCCCAGCCAGGGCACCCCCTTCCCCCCTGGACATCACATGCATGTCCGAAAGCAAGCTAAAGACGTTTCTCCTGCTAAAGACAGGAAGCAGGGCATCATGGCGCCCTGCTTCCCCCCTCCCATCTTTCAACACCTCATATTATAAAATTGGGAAGTGTCAGTACCCTCTCCCATTTCTCATAACGCAACGCACTGCATTCTCTTCTACGGCATCATCACACACATTCCATCCCCGTTATTGTTGCAGTCTCACAACAAGCTTAAGAAGTTCCTACACATCATCAGCGAATCGCCTGTCTTCCCAGTGATCTATGATGCCAACAGGTGTGTGTATACCCTTATAGCGCAAACTTGCCCTTCATGTATGATACTACGTATGTCCAGCTCCAGTTATCTTTCAATGTCTGACGCTCAGCTCAGTTATCTTTCGACTAGCCTTCGAGACCCCCTATTGGAGGAAAATGTTAACTGATTTATGATGCGATGTGCTGTGGTGTGCTACATCCGACTCCGATGGCAGCAGTTTCACATCAGCCTCCACCAATTCTTCATATTGACAAACCAGTTCATTTTTTCCTCTCCACCCTTGCCGCCATTCCCCCCCTCTCTCGCCCGCGTGTCTCTCTCCCACTCTCTTCAGAACCGTGCTGTCTCTCCCGCCGGTGATCAACGGCTCACATTCAGCCATCAAGCTGACCACGCGCAACGTGTTCATCGAATGCACCGCCACTGACCTCACCAAGGCCAAGATCGTTCTCAACACCGTTGTCACCATGTTCTCCGAGTTCTGCGATAACAAGTGAGTGCGTATCATGCCTTGTAGATGCTGTAGGGACAGCTGGAGGGGATGCGGTAAGGTACCATGCATGAGAAGGACCACTGACTGACCTCACCAAGGCCAAGATCGTTCTCAACACCGTTGTCACCATGTTCTCCGAGTTCTGTGAAAACAAGTGCGTAAGGGACACTGGAGATAAGTGTAAGGGACTACAGACGTCGGGTAGGATTGGAAGGGCTCACACCCTCACTTGGTGCAGTGCAGTGCACTAGAAGGGCCACTGACTGGTCTCACCAAGGCCGAGATCGTGCTCAAAACCGTGGTTACCATGTTCTCAGAGTTCTGTGACACCAATGAGTGGAGCAATAACTGGAGAGTAGAGGCTCTAGTGGAAGCTGTACTGTACTGTGCAATGAAAACAGCCACTGGCCTCACAAGACCGAGATCCGCCTTTTGAGGCGCCTCGAAAGTTGCTAGTGGAAGCTGTATTGTACTGGGTGCAATGCTTGAAAAGCTCCACTGGCCACACAAAGGCCGAGATCGTGCTCGACACCGTTGTTACCATTTGACTTTTGAGTCGACTCAAAAGTCAACACGGTCAACATCGTGGTCGACGGCGTCGTTGGCATTTATTGTCAGCCCCTCGTATTGATTTTGGTTTGTTCTTCACTATTTCTCTACCACATTGTTTATTTCCACTTCAGGCTCGAGGAGGAACTGGTGGAGGTGGTATCTGTGGAGGGGCGAGTTGAAAGAACCCCCTTGTTAATGCTCACACACGACTACACTTCACTGCACTGTGGATTTTCTTTGCAGGTTCGAGGTGGAACCGGTGGAGGTGGTATCTACGGAGGGGCAGGTGGCGGTGTACCCTCAGATGGAGGAGAGGGATGTGGAGACATCGGTGGGGTATATCAACAAGGCTATTGGCGTTGACCTTAAAGCCGAGGAGGTGAGGCTCCAGGTTGAATGTGGTTGAATGTGGTTGATTGTGGGTGGTTGGGTTCGCACACACACATGGGGGGCAGGTGGCAGTATACCCTCAGATGGAGGAGAGGGATGTGGAGGCATCGGTGGGGTATATCAACAAGGCTATTGGCGTTGACCTTAAAAGCCGAGGAGATGAGAGAATGAGGGAGATTGTGATTGTGGTTGAATGTGGGTGTGTGGGTTCACACATGTGAGGGGACTCACATCACACACTCATATTCCCGATATGGACTCCTTTTTCCGTTGCCCATTCTATCCGTTTTATCCCTTTCAGATCGCCCGTCTGCTGATGTGCTTGCAGGTGGCATCGAAGGTGGTGGAGGGGCGGAGAGGGGAGGACAGACAGCCACACTCAACCTCCCAACATGCACTCTCCTTGCTGCCTTGCCCTTTGTTGCCCTCGTTTCGCCCCTTTCATCCTTCCAGATCGCCCGGCTGCTGACACGCATGCAGCTGCCATGAAAGGTGGCGGAGAGGGGAGGACGGGGCGGAGGTGGTGAGCGTCACAGTGCCGCCCACTCGCAGCAACATACCCCTTGCCCCGTTTGCCCCTTCTGTGCCATGCCATGTTTCCCTCAGATCGCCCGGCTGCTGACGCGCATGCAGCTGCCGTCCAAGGTGGTGGAGGGGCGGAGAGGAGAGGACGGGGCCGAGGTGGTAAGCGTGACAGTGCCGCCCACTCGCAGTGACGTGCTGCACCCCTGTGACATTATGGAGGTGAGAGGTGATTAGAGTGATTCATGATATGTATACTACTGAGAGACTGAAGTATGTTGGGCATGTGACATTAATTGTGAGGACGGGACGAGGCGGAGGTGGTGAGCGTGACAGTGCCCCCCACTCGTAGCGATGTGCTGCACTCGTGTGACATCATGGAGGTGAATGTGATTATATTGATGCTGCCCAGTGACATAGGGATGTTATTGAGGACACGCCCTCACATACATGTGAAGGTTGCATATGGTATTGAGTCGACAGTCAGTGTGTGGGTGTTGATGTTGACTCTCTTCCATACTCCTTCATTCCCTTTCCTCTCACCCTCCTGGACGTGGCCATTGCACACGGCTACAACAACATGGCTCGCACCGAGCCCAAGACAGCCTGTGAGGGCAAGCAGCAGGCGCTGACCTTCCCTTCCCCCCATCCTCATTCCCTTCTGTTCCACTCCCTCCCCAACACACACGCACACACATCAGGACGTGGCTATCGCACACGGTTACAACAACATTGCTCGCACAGAGCCCAAGACGGTGTGTGAGGGCAAGCAGCAGCCTCTCAACCAGCTGTGCGACCTGCTGAGGGGCGAGGTGGCCCAGGCGGGCTTCACAGAGGTGCTCACGTGGGCGCTCATCGCACGCAGCGAGAACTTTGAGATGGTGAACTTGAAGGACGATGGCAAGACGGCTGTTGTCATTGGCAACCCGCGCTCTGCTGATTTCGAGGTGGGTGTGTGGGTCTGTGTGTGTGGGGGGTGGGGAGAGAGGGAGGAAGAGCAAGGCAGAGGTGCTCACGTGGGCGCTCATCGCTCGCAGTGAGAACTTTGAGATGGTGAACCTCAAGGACGATGGGAAGACGGCTGTTGTCATCGGCAACCCGCGGTCTGCAGACTTTGAGGTGGGTGGGTGTGTGCAGACGGCCCTTTGTCTATTTCTTTGGTGTGGGGCACGTGGGCGCTCATCGCTCGCACCGAGAACTTTGAGATGGTGAACCTCAAGGACGATGGCAAGACGGCTGTTGTCATCGGCAACCCGCGGTCGGCTGATTTCGAGGTGGGTGCTTTTGGGCGGGTGTGTGCTCGCTTTGGGAAGGCAGTTGATATCAGAACCCCACGGTCCGCTGATTTCGAGGTGGGTGCATGCGTGCGAGTGTTTCTGGATGACCGTCGTAAGTTAGTCCTGTTTATATTCTATCCTCTTCCTTTCTACAGATGGTTCGCTCCTATCTCCTCCCCGGAATGCTCAAGACCCTCGCCAGAAACAAGGACTCGTCTCGCGTCGCCCTGTCAGGCCAGAGGTCGTACGAGGTGCCTCGTGGTCCCTGCTGATCCCTCTATCAACCCCACACTCTCCCCGCTCCCCCCGCCCCGCCTTGTGAAGCCTCTGGCAGTAGGAGGTGCCTCATGGTCCCTGCTGATCCCTCTGTCAACCCCGCACTCTTCCTTCCCAGGTGGTGTGCTCGTCTCTCCTCCCTGGAATGCTCAAGACCCTCGCCAGCAACAAGGACTCGCTCAGCCCAGTGAAGCTCTCTGAGGTGTCTCATATCTCTCCTTCATCCCCACTTTCATCTGTTTCCCCCACTCACTCTTTCCCATCCCAGGTGGTGCGCTCCTCCCTCCTCCCCGGAATGCTCAAGACGCTTGCCAGCAACAAGGACTCGCCACGCCCGGTGAAGCTCTTTGAGGTGTCTCATGCTCCTGCTAGTTCTCCCTTCAAGCAATCCCTGTCCCCGCCCACCCCTCTACAGGTGGTGCGCTCGTCTCTCCTCCCCGGAATGCTCAAGACCCTCGCCAGCAACAAGGACTCGCCCCGCCCGGTGAAGCTCTTTGAGGTGTCGGACGTGTGCCTGCTGGACGAGAGCAAGGACGTGGGGGCGAGGAACGAGAGGCGGCTCATAGCGCTCTACTGCAACCTGCACTCTGGCTTCGAGGTCATTCACGGTCTGGTCGATCGCCTCATGGAGTCGCTGGGAGTGGCGTGTGGAGGCCAAGCAGGGGCGGACGGGACAAAGGCTCTTGCTGATGGGCCGGCAACGCAGGGTGACGGTGGGGATGCTGCCAAGGCTGCCGCTGCTCTCAAGTACTTCATTGCTCCCTCGCAAGTGAGTGTGTGTAGTCCTCTTGTTTGTCATGTTTCGATGCGCCCTTGCATGGCAAGGTTGCTGCTCTCAAGTACTTCATTGCGCCCTCGCAAGTGAGTATACTTGCTTTGACATGTCCCGACGCTCCCGCGCAAGTGAGTCAGCTTTGTCATGTTCCGGTGTGCCCTTGCAACGCTGCTGCTGCTCTCAACCGTATTTCTCCCTCGCAAGTAAGTCTGCTCTCTAACATGTTCAGTATTTTCTTCATTGCTGGAAGTTTTTCCGTCCTAGGCAAGCACATCTCCTTGTGTGCCCATTCCCTCTCTTTCCCCTTGTCTCTGCCGTTAGTGGTGCAATCTACCCAATTCTATGAATGCCATGAGGCACTTCTATTGTCAAATAGAATCCTTCATTTGTTCTCATTGTGCCCCATTCCCTCCTGTTTCCCGCACACTCTGTTGTTCGTCCTCCAGTCTCCACAGTAGTGTGAGCAGTGAGCACTTTAAGGCAATAATTTATGTTAAAAATATATCCTTCATTTGATCTCATTGCGTCCCCATTCCCTCCTGTTTCCCGCACATTCCTTTGTTCGTCCTCCAGTCTCCCCAGTTCTTTGGGGGCCGTCAGGCCGATATCCTCTGTAAAGGAAAATCCATCGGCACTTTTGGTGTCGTTCACCCAGAGGTGTGTAGTCATGTTGTTTTGCTTCATCTATTCTAATTATAATTTGTGCCCCGGACACACCTGCGTCCCTGTTGTTGTTTTCCTCGGCTCACAGTCCCTGCGTCTTCCCTTTTCTCGGCCTGCTATCACATTCTCCTCCCCGTTCTCAACTTGCTCCCTTCCACTTTCTCAGCTTGCTGTCCCATTCTCCTCTTTCTTGGCTCGCTAACTATCCCTCTCCCTTCTCCCTTTCTAAAGTGTCAATAACATCCTCCCTCTACCCATCCCTTCATAATCATAACATATTTCTATGCCAACTTTTCTCTTTCCAGGTTCTTGCGCGTTTTGACATCCCTGATCCTTGCTCTGCTGTGGAGATTAACCTAGAGCCGTTTCTCCAGTTATAGGGTTCCTTCCTTCCAGAAGCAAAAACAGGATAGAGAAACATACTGCATGTGCGGATGCAATTACGTTGTAGGCTGTGATGTAGGAACTTCAAGGTGTGCTCCTGTTTAAGAATGTAAGAAAAAAGTTGTGTGCATTTTCCTGCCACTGAAGATAGGCTCTTTGGTATCCATAGCATCTGTAGATAGAAACATAAGATTATGCAGCTGGGTGCATTTTTTAGCAGTGGAAACAAAAATTGGGATGCAAACAAAGGTGCCTGAATTGAATGTTTATGCAGCTAGGTGCAGTTAATATCAGTGAAAACAAAATGGGAACAAACGAAGGTTCTGCCGGGATTCGAACCCAGGTTGCTGGATTCAAAGTCCAGAGTGCTAACCACTGCACCACAGAACCGATGTTTGTACTTAAACTGTTACATATTTATTTTTTTTTGTTCTGACTTTCCCGCCAAACACAACTGTCGAGACTCCTCAGGGATTGCCTCGTGTCACGTCAGCCGCTGCTCAGATGAATTCCAGCCACCCGAACCGATTCAACCCATTCTTCTTCCTTGTCACCTCGAGAACAGTTTCTTGGTTTGCTAGACAGAGTTGCTGCTGAGTTGCTGAGAACCTTTTCCTAGACTTCAGCTAGCAGACTGCCAGGCCCGATTCATCAACAGCAGCAGGTCAAGCAAGAGAGACTTCAGTAACAGATCCTCATCCGGTCTATTAGCCTTACCTTCGCGTTGTTGATTTCGATTTGCTGATCCCGCGTTGTCGATTTCGCGAATCTCGCGTTGGTACCAACGCTGATCCCGCGTGATCGTTAGCAACTCGTTATTATCGGATCAGGTCCGAGCTGATCGCTCCTCGCTTGGCGACTAAACTCGCGGCACTGTCTCCAACCCCATTAGGTCGTGCTGCTACGAGGGAGGAGTTTCTATTTTTTAGACTTCTGCTGCTGCTACTGCTGCTGCTGTGCCATCGGATTTGGTAGAAGTTCGTGACCGTTGGATCCGCATTTTGACGGTCAGATTCAGCGGGATCCTCGATGTTGGCAGGAGGAAACGGAGCCGTTTTGGCTCAACGGTTTCAGGTGCGTGTTCGACATAGCTTAACGGTTTCAGGTGCGTGTTCGTTATAAGTTAACGGTTTCAGGTGCGTGTTCGACATAGCTTAACGGTTTCAGGTGCGTGCTCGCCATAACTTAACGGATTCGGGTGCGTGCTCGCCATAAGTTAACGGATTCAGGTGCGTGCTCGCCATAAATCCACGGATTTGAACACGCGATGCTCTGCGCAACATAACGGCTTCCAGGCGCGTCGTTGCGATAACTTTTCTGTTTCAAGCTCGTGCTCGCTAGCGGCATTCCGTCGCTTAAATGAGCGGGCGATGTTGGTGGCCAACACCGCTTGCGTTTTCTCGCATTGTGCTTTTACACCTTCTGAAGCTAGACCGTATTTGATCCTTCGTTGCTGAAAGTTGAAATGAATCTTATCCGTTCCTGACATAACTGACAGATGACTCACCGCGTTCATAATCCGTCCATCCCTTCCCGTGTTCCCCGTGCTCACGCATTCCCCCTTTCCGAATACAGTACTTCCTCGATAAATCGACCCCGCACTATGGTTACAGATGGATCGCTACACTCGTCATTGCGCTAATCTACACCATACGCGTGTTTTTCCTACACGGATATTACATAATCACGTATGGACTGGGCATCTACATGCTGAATCTGCTCATCGGGTTCCTGTCCCCTCAAGTGGATCCCGAGGCTGAAGGGCCAGTGCTGCCATCCAAGGGCAACGATGAGTTCAAGCCCTTCATCCGACGGCTACCAGAGTTCAAGTTCTGGTGAGTCGAGAGGATTGGGTTGCGGTCTAGGTTAGGGTTGCCTGCTGCTGCTGCTGCTGCTGCTGCCTGCTGCTGCTGCTGCTTCCTCGTGATGACCATACCTGGGCGTTTATGCTTCGCTGTCGTTTCCTCTGTTTTATCGCCCTCCCGCATTGTATCTCCCACCCCCTACTTCCTTCCCCCACCTCCCGTTCCTTTCCTTCGGTCGCTGGCTCTCATTGTGCATTTCTCACTGCTGCCTCCCTCCTCTTCACCACCTCCCCACCCCCCCACCCCAACACCCCCACACCTATTTCTTCCCTGTCTTGTGCAATCACACTGACCTTTTTTCGCGTTGAACAATTGTCCTTGTTCACCTCATCCTTATTCTCCTCCACTCACATGCACACTCTCACTCTCCACATTTCCACCACCCCCCGCCTCTCCCCACAACCCCCTCCCTCCACCCCCTCTCCTCTCCGCCCCACTTTTCCCTTCCTCTACTCATCCTGTTCTCCTTCTCTTCCAACCGTGCTTCCCCTCCTCACTTCTCCACACAACCAACCCTCTCTCCCTTCCCTCCCCTCCTCCCCCACTCCCCCCTCCCCTCCTTCTCTTTCTTCCCAAATCCCCAGGTGACCAAGGCATAAACCATGACATTCACATTGACCAGTGTTCCCTCCTCTCCTCATTCCCATTCTCCTCCTCTCCCATCCACACCTCCCCATCCACATGCCCCCATCCACACTCCTCTTCCATCCACACTCATCTTCCCCATTTCTCTCCTCCCAACACCCCTACCCTCTCTTAGTCTCCTACATAACAATCCACACCCCCTCTTCCACCCCCCCTTTTCCAGGTACGCGATAACCAATGCGCTCCTGGTGGCCTTCACGATGACCTTCTTCCCCATCTTTGACGTGCCTGTTGTTTCCTCCTCTCTCATCCCTCCCTTTCTCCCCCTTCCCTCCCATCCCCCTCCTCCCTCCCTCCCCACTTCTTCTTTCAGGTACGCAATGACCAAGGCATTCCTCGTCGCCTTCACAATGACCTTCTTCCCCATATTTGACGTGCCGGTGTTCTGGCCCATCCTGCTCATGTACTGGTTCCCCTACCCCACTCTTTCTCCTCCCCAACAGGTACGCCATGACCAAGGCGTTCCTTGTCGCCTTCACGATGACCTTCTTCCCGATCTTTGACGTGCCAGTGTTCCCTCCTTTCCTCCCACCCCCACTCTTTTCCCCTCCTCCCTCCCCCCCTCTCCACAGGTACGCAATGACCAAGGCGTTTCTCGTTGCCTTCACGATGACCTTCTTCCCCATCTTTGACGTGCCGGTGTTCTGGCCCATCCTGCTCATGTACTGGTTCACGCTCTTCGTGCTCACCATGAAGCGCCAGATCCGCCACATGATCAAATACAAATACGTCCCCTTCTCCTTCGGCAAGCAGGTGCGTGCTCTTGAATGCATATTGAGTTATGTTGAAGTACAAACACCCGTACAAAGAAAAGCGCAAATACAGGTACAAATACGAATACTTCTACATATACAAATACAAATACAAACGCAGTTACTTTAGAAATTCGTCCTGTTCCTTTTTGGCAACCAAGCGCATGCTATTTCGTTTGCTAAAGAGAATTTGGGTTCAGTTGAATTCAAATACGAGGAAGGTGGTTTTCAGATCACTTTAAAACCCACTCTGTACTACAGTATCCCCTTTGGCCCTCCTGTCCTGCCACATGCAGAAGTACAAGGGGGAAAAGAAGCCTTCTACCTACCAGGACGATAACTCCTGAGGTGCCTGAAAACTCATTTTGTGCCCTCCTGGCCTTTCCTCACTTGCATGTGCAGAAGTACAAGGGGGGAAAGAAACCTGCAAGCAAGGACGACGATGCCGTACCCATAGTCAAAACAGTCTCGCTTCCTGCCAAGTCAAAGGATTAGCAGCACATGCAAGACTTGTTGATGCAAGGCTTACTCGTTGGTTGCAAGGCAAGGCTTACTCGTTGGTTGCAAAAAAATATTTGCTTTTAGAGGCTTTTTACTGCCTGGCTGGCCTCCCTGTTGCTGCTTTGTTACCCGGGATCCAGTTTTGATGTTGAGTAGCATGTGATGCTAAGGTTCTAACAAATTTCAGAAGCTCAATGAGAGACATTTGAGATTAGGACAGAACCAAATTGCTAACGCCTCAATTTCTTTTTCCTACGGTTAGGTCTTACATAGGGGGGGATAAACGTACACAACTTCAGGCAACTCATACATTTGCAGTGCACTCTTGGCTGGGGCTGGTTCTAAACAGTTTAAGGGTGCATTCCTGTGGAGACACAAATGTCTCAATCGCTTTGTGACACACAAAAACAGCATGAACTGTAGTGTGTCCCAATTGCGAGTCGTCTTTCCGCGACCATAACTGTATTACGAAACGCGCTGACGTCGCTGACTAATTGTAATCCAACTCGTCAATGTGAAAAATTCGCACGCGGCTCGAAATGTCAATGCACCTGGACAGACTGCAGTGCCAATTTCGTGCGGGAAAAAATCCCGCGCGTCGAAACCACACCCCAGCCAAGCGGTTGAAGAAAGGGATGTACAGTCATTTGTGTCACCCAATCAAATGCGCACAACTGTACATTTTGCCGGGTCGCCTAGAGTCGCGATACACTTGTTGTTTGTGACACAACATTTGGCAAATTTACAGACGCGACTCGGGAAAACGGGGATTGAGACACAAGTTTCCCCGCAGAAATGCACCCTAAAACGGTTCTTCGTTCTTCACTGTTTTGCAACGGTACCAGAAACGTACTGGCTAGCCACTTCGAAAAAAAGAGGCGGTAGAGAGATTCCCGAGGAGTGATGCAAGAACTGATAACAGTTATATCAACACATATGACAAATCCTAAGAACAGACCGACGACAGCAGGGCACGAAGAACAACCTCATAAGACGTTCTCAAGGGCCTGTTGCAGCGTCCCAAAACTCACGGCGCCAATGATCGTCTAACGCTCGCTCCCACTGCTGAAGATTATAACCGTCGGAAGGCTGCGGACGCCATAATTGGAGCCCGACTGGGGGTTTGCGTTGGTGTCTAGTTTGAAACAGGCCGCCCTTTCTGAATATTCCTCAGCGAGGCGATCGATCACGGATTCAAGCATTCTGCTCGGACCAGACCACGAAGCGTAGAAAAGGACGACAACGGGACGCCGATTCTCCAGAACAAGGCTCGAGAAATCATCATCCGTCACAATCGCCGCCATCGCCGATGACAAAATCAGCTGCTAGCTGGCAGTAGGTGTGGAGGTACCGGTAGGTGTGCGGGGTTATGATAAATCAGCCGCATTTATAATAAGCGATCTGAGACCTTGACGGAAGCTTTGAAGCTCGAGAAAACGCAAGGACTAGTTCGGCCGTCGCAGTCAGCGATACCCCAGCATAACATTTGCTGCGGCTCTTTGGTAAAAGACTCCGCTGAAGTCGATCGCCGAATAATCTTAAGTCGTTGCAGGGTCCCCTCAGTCTCTGCGGCGAGAGTCGCATCGCATCGCATGCACGTTGCTCGCGAGCGAGCGAGAACGAGGAGGGGGTGGGGGAGGGGTGGGGGGGGCATTACAAGATTCTGTGAGGAGGCCACTGATTGGAGGAAAGCCCCCCCAAGCCACGCTAAGGGGGGTGAATGGCGGTTCCAGGCAACGCCATTCTACTCAAAACAGTCGCTCACCAAATAGCCACGCACTGACTGGCGCCCGATTCTAAACTGTCGCAGGCGGGACGAGTGAGGGTCGAGTCGGATCGAGAGACCACCGGCGTTCCCGCCAGCAGTCATCTGTCCGTTTGGTCTCAGTTTTCAGTCGCCTGTGGTAGTGTGGGTTGGGTAGGGACAAAGAAGGTGCGGTGAAGCGCAGTCAAAGGATACAATCTATCCATGAAATTTGGCAAATTCCATCAAACCTGGCTAATAACTCCACCAAAAATAGTCGAGTCCTGAAAACTGGCCAAGTCTCAAACAATGACAACCACTAGCGACGGCTGGCATTGGCGAAGGCACCGCGATTCTCAAGTCCTTGCCCCAAGTACCCGCGCATACTTCGATACGAGCTGCATCAGTCTTGCTTTCGATAACATCCGTCGTTCATGTAATCAACTCCACAGAAAATCCTTAACGCAAGGCTTAAAAAGGGAGGATCCAGCTTGGCAATATTAAATGCCAAACCTGCTGCAAACAGAAGCACAACTACATGACAATCAAATTCATTTTCCTGCAATTTTATGCAAGGAACAGACTGATTTAGCAAAGCTAGCAAACCCTAAAGAAACTATACTTTCCAGCTATCAAGGAGTAGAGACCAACCAACCACACCAGAACATACAAAAAGCAATCTTTTACCATAACATGGGTGCATAACCCACAACACCAATTCTGCGGAAGACTAACCCAACGTTGTATCGTGCACCACGGGCATGGGATTGCACGCGCAGCATCTGACGTGGCCTCCTATGTGGTAGATGATGCAGGCGCGATATGATTGGTCGGCGGATGCAATGGCAGCAGCAATGCGCTGCCCACCACGCTTCCTCCGGCTGCTCCCTGATTGGTCAGAGAGTGCTCCTTTATGATGTCAGGATGATGTCAGCACGCCCCCGTATGGGTGGTCAATGGGGATGGGTATGGATGGGTGTAAATGGGTGATGGGAGTGATGGTTGAACGAAACTGGAGGGATGATGAAAAACGGTAGTGTAGCGAGGCGTGTGAATGGGGAAGGTCGGCGAGGGAATGAGTTGGGGGCGTAGCTGCATCAAATATAATCAGGATCAGATCTTGTCAAGTGCTGCTGCTGCTGCTTCTGCTGCTCACCTCCCTGCTTAGTGGAAGACTGCAGCCTGCCCACCTGCTCTACCTGCTGCTGATCTAATACCCTAAATCTTGTCGGGCGCTTCGTGACCTTACACAAGAGGCCGCTTGTGCTGTGTAATAAGGCCTGCTGTGCTGATTTATGTTGCTACTTGGAAGCTTCACGGATGCAGCTTCCTGGCAGCTTTGCAGCTGCTCACTGCTACTACTGTTCTCCTGTAATCTGATCCATACTGACAACAAAACGTGTCACACGCCTGCTGCCACATCAGCCACCACATCAGCTGCCACGTCAGCCGCCACATCAGCACAGCTAGATCCCGTACGTCGCACTGAGCTTCTGCAGCAGCGGTTTGTCGGTAGATTGCAGGATTTGATCCCACGTGCCTGCCTCCACTAGCATCTGTGGTCAAATAGGTGCATGAGGAAGGGGAAGGATCAGGTGAAAGATCATAATTTGATCCCACGTGCCTGCCTCCACTATCATCTGTGGGTAATCAACGCATAAAACACGTGCATGGGATGAGAGAAGAGAGTGTGGCACAAGCCTCAGACTCATGTGGTCCCCCATTGCAGTTTAGGCTTAACACACCTGCCAGGTTATTTCCCATTATTTTTAACCCACCTGCTTAAAGCCTTGAAGGAGCTGATGAATCTCAGCCTTCAGCTCTGCACTGTGGATCTCCTGAGGATGCCAATAAGGGGGATGGGTAGGAAAAGGGGTGAGCGGATTGCACATTAGTTAATTTGCCTGGAGGTTGATTTGAGAGTGACTATTTGTGGATGCGAGTGCGTGTGCATGCGTGCGAGTGAGTGTGTGCGTGTGCCTGCCTACCCACGTGCAGGTGCATGTGAGTGTGTGCGCGTGTAACAGGAGGGTTTGTAAGCTTGGGAGAGGCAGAGAAACTAGGGCGAAATGGTTTGATAGCAAGACATCAGTTCCTTCAGATGTGCAGCTAGTTGATCATTCAGTTGACTAGTGACATACTCTCCAGCTGCCAATGGCGAGCAGCAGCGGGTGGATGGCCGTGGATGCTGCCATGGGGTTGAGGCGCAGCTGGTGCGTGGGGGGGGAAGGGGAGAGATGCGGGTAGGGGTGGGGAAGGTAGGGAGATGGATGGGAAAGGTAAGAGGGGGAGAAGCAGCAGCAGGTGGATGGTTGCGGATGCTGCCATAGGGTTCAGGCGCAGCTGGTGTGTGGGTGGATTAGGGGGGGAGGAAACATGGGGGATATGTGAGAAAGAGGAGTAAGGGAGATTGGGGGGAGACACAGGGGAGGGTTGAAGAAAGCGGGGCATGTGGAGTGATTGGAGGAGCAGGGGAAAGAAGAAACGGTGCAATCCTGGAACGGCCAAAAGTCACAGCACACAACACAGAGAACAGCACCGCAGAAGCACAACTCACACAGCACATGGCACAGAAGAACGCACACAGCACAGGTATACAGCAAACAGCACAGCAGCACATGGCACAGAAGAACGCACACAGCACAGGTATACAGCAAACAGCACAGCAGCACATGGCACAGAAGAACGCACACAGCACAGGTATACAGCAAACAGCACAGCAGCACATGGCACAGAAGAACGCACACAGCACAGGTATACAGCAAACAGCACAGCAGCACTCATAGCACAAGCAGCAGCACCAGAACTCACCACAGCGCACAGCCCTTTAAATGCCTCCTCCTTCTCCACGTCATCACGGATTCTGGGGGGAAGGAGAGGGGGGAGAGGGGCGGAGACAGGGGAAGAGAGGTAGGAGAAAGAGAAAAATGAGAGCGCAAGTCACCACAGCGCACAGCCCTTTAAATGCCTCCTCTCTCTCGACGTCATCACGGATTCTGAGGAAAGCGGGGGAATGGGGGAGGAGGATAGGGAAATGGGTGGTGGGAGCGGGGCGGGGATAGGGAAAGGGGTGGTTGGGAGCGTGGCGGAGAGAGGGAATTGGGTGGTTGGGAGTGGGTCGAAGATAGGGAAAGGAATAGGTGAGACGGGTCGGGAGATAGGGAAAGGGGTGGGTGGGACCGGTGGGGAGATAGGGGAAGGGGTGGGTGGGGCCGGGGGGGAGATAGGGGAAGGGGTGGGTGGGACCAGGTGGGAGATAGAGAAAGGGGTGCGTGGGAGCGCGTGGGAGTGTGCACTGTTTTAGACTCACACTCGAAGTGTAGGTGCCTTTTGATGCTCACCCTTTGAGCGTGGTGAGGAAGGGTACGAGGAAGTGAGAGGCCTGGGGCGCCAGCACATCCATGCAGCACACCAGCACGGGCAACACGGCAGGGCGGCACTTGACTCACCCTTTGAGCGTGGTGAGGAATGGAACCAGGAAGTGAGAGGCCTGGGGAGCCAGCACGTCAGGGCACACCCACGCAAAGCGGCCCAGCGTGATGGCACAGTTCTCCACCAGCGCTAGATTGGTGCCCTGGGAGGGGAAGGGAGGGGGAGGGAGAGGGGAAAGGGGAAGAAGCGGCGGAAGGGGAAGGAAGGGAAGGGGTGAGGAGAAGGCCTGGCCGCGAGGGGCGCCAGCACGTCAGGGCACACCCACGCAAAGCGACCCAGTGTGATGGCACAGTTCTCCACCAGCGCTAGATTGGTGCCCTAAAAGAAGGGGGGGTGAGGGGTGGGTTGGGGGGGGGGGGTGTTGATGAAGAAGGTTGGGAAAGGAACGGTTACCAGTGTGTGCAGTTATGGCAGGACACTCCAAAGGATCTAACAAGTCATCTCAGCACAGCACTCACCCCTTGAATTCGTGGCGATGTGAGGACAGGCACGATGTTGTTCAGGACCGAGTCACACAGTGTCTCTAATCAGAGAGGCACAGTGTCTCTAATCAGAGAGGCACAGTGTCTCTAATCAGAGAGTTCTGAGACGTCTCAAAAGCACTCACTCACCCGCGAGTTCTGAGACGTCTCAAAAGCACTCACTCACCCGCGAGTTCTGAGACGTCTCAAAAGCACTCACTCACCCGCGAGTTCTGAGACGTCTCAAAAGCACTCACTCACCCGCGAGTTCTGAGACGTCTCAAAAGCACTCACTCACCCGCGAGTTCTGAGACGTCTCAAAAGCACTCACTCACCCGCGAGTTCTGAGACGTCTCAGAAGCACTCACTCACCCGCGAGTTCTGAGACGTCTCAAAAGCACTCACTCACCCGCGAGTTCTGAGACGTCTCAAAAGCACTCACTCACCCGCGAGTTCTGAGACGTCTCAAAAGCACTCACTCACCCGCGAGTTCTGAGACGTCTCAAAAGCACTCACTCACCCGCGAGTTCTGAGACGTCTCAAAAGCACTCACTCACCCGCGAGTTCTGAGACGTCTCAAAAGCACTCACTCACCCGCGAGTTCTGAGACGTCTCAAAAGCACTCACTCACCCGCGAGTTCTGAGACGTCTCAAAAGCACTCACTCACCCGCGAGTTCTGAGACGTCTCAAAAGCACTCACTCACCCGCGAGTTCTGAGACGTCTCAAAAGCACTCACTCACCCGCGAGTTCTGAGACGTCTCAAAAGCACTCACTCACCCGCGAGTTCTGAGACGTCTCAAAAGCACTCACTCACCCGCGAGTTCTGAGACGTCTCAAAAGCACTCACTCACCCGCGAGTTCTGAGACGTCTCAAAAGCACTCACTCACCCGCGAGTTCTGAGACGTCTCAAAAGCACTCACTCACCCGCGAGTTCTGTGCAGAGGTGAGGACAGGCACAGTGTTGTTCAGCTCCGAGTCAAGCAAGTCAAGCAAGTCAATGCAGCGAAGTGAATCGTTTTAGCCAGAGCAGCACAGCACTCACCCATGGGTTCTGTGCGGAGGTGAGGACAGGCACGATGTTGTTCAGGACCGAGTCAAACAAGTCAATGCAGTCATGCCAGCCAGTCAGTATAGTCATGCTAGTAGGCAGTTACACTCACCCGTGGGTTCTGTGCGGAGGTGAGGACAGGCACGATGTTGTTCAGCACTGGCACCACGGCTGGCGATATCTCTTCTCGCACCTGTTCGGGGTAGATAAGGTCAATGGGGTCAACGGGGTCAACAGGTCAATGGGGATCAATGGGGTCAATACAGGGATTCCAGGGTGCTAGCACGGCACGATGTTGTTCAGCACTGGCACCACGGCTGGCGATATCTCTTCTCGCACCTGTTCGGGGTAGATAAGGTCAATGGGGTCAACAGGTCAATGGGGTCAACGGGGTCAACAGGTCAATGGGGATCAATGGGGTCAATACAGGGATTCCAGGGTGCTAGCACGGCACGATGTTGTTCAGCACTGGCACCACTGCTGGCGAGATCTGTCACACCTGTTGAGGGTGGTCAACCAAGTCAATGGGGCAATTGGGGTCAGCAGGGTCACAGAGAAACCAGGCTGATTACAAACAATAGTTGTTGGGATGGGCTAACAGGGTCAAACGGGTCAACTGAGTCAATGGGATCAACCCCTCCCCCCCCCCCCCCCCCCCCCACATCCCCCTTATTTGTCTCAATTCCTGCCAGAGACTATCTTCAGAGCCCGGCATGCATTGTTGGCGACTGAGATGCACTCGAGCACAAAGGCTCCGGGTCGTTCAAAAAGGCTCCAGGTCGTTCAAAAAGGCTCCAGGTCGTTCAAAAAGGCTCCAGGTCGTTCAAAAAGGCTCCAGGTCGTTCAAAAAGGCTTCAGGTCGTTCAAAAAGGCTCCAGGTCATTCAAAAAAGCTCCAGGTCGTTCAAAAAGGTTCCGGGCTGTTCACAAAGGCTCCGGGCTGTTCACAAAGGCTCCGGGCCGTTCACAAAGGCTCCAGGCCGTTCACAAAGGCTCCAGGTCGTTCAGCTGCCCCTTTCCACCAGCTCTCCCACCCCCCACCACACCACCTCAGACCGCCATCCCCTCACCAACCACGACCAGGCTTGGGAGCATACCTTGACTGCCAGCTCGCCCAGCGCCCAGCACGCGTTGTTGGCGACGGAGATCCGCTCGTGTACAAAGGACTCGGGGCCGTTCAGCTGGGCCACGCACACCGAGAGGAAGTCGTTGAGACGCGGCCGCACCTGCTGCACACACGACTGGTGAAGAGGGGGAGAGGAAAAGATGGAGGGAGAGAGATTGGCGCACAAGCATGTTAACATGTATTCTGCCTGCCACACACACTGAGAGGAAGTCGTTGAGGCGCGGCCGCACCTGCTGCACACACGATCGGTGGGAGGGAAAAGATGGGGAGGGGAGGGGGAGGAGGGGGGGTGTGGACAAAAGAGATCGTGCGCACAAGACTAACAAGCCATGCAGCTGTTTGTACCATACCAAGGATGGATTGAACGAACGAGGCATTGCCACCATGCAGCAATCTGTACCATGCAAGCCTCCCATGCAGCACATGGGATGAAAGAAAGTCGTCGCCACACCTTGGCGAGGTCACCCAAGCAAGCGAGCGAGCTCTGCTTGGCGTTGCTGGCGTGGCGTCCATTCCATAGCACAGCACTGCAGTGTGTGGAACGTGTCTTGCACTCTTAACACAGACAGACAGTCTAGCAAAGCAACACACACCTTGGTCTGGTCACCCAAGAGAGCGAGAGAGCTCTGCTTGACGTCGTTGGCGTCCACCGCACAGCACTGCACTGCACTGCATTGAATTACCTGATAAGCCTTAGCACAAACGGCCGGGCTAAACACACCTTGGTGAGGTCACCCAGTAGGGCGAGGGAGCTCTGCTTGACGTCGTTGGCGTCCACCGCACAGCACTGCAGCAGCAGGTCCGTCAAGCCGCTCTTGGCAATCTGGTGGTGGTGGGTAGTGAAGAGAGCACGGAGGGATGCGGGACGAGTGAGGGCGGCACAGAGGGATGCGGGACGAGTGAGGGCGGCACAGAGGGATGCGGGAGAGCGAGCGAGCTCTGCTTCACATCATTGGCGTCCAGGTCAATGATGCACAGCACTGCAGCAGCAGGTGCGTCAAGCTGCTCTTGGCGACCTGGGGGTGGGGGTGGGGAGTGAAGGAGGCACAGAAGAGACATAGAGAGTGGAGGCCTTCACTCCAGAGAAAGTTGGCGTCCAGGTCAATGATGCACAGCACTGCAGCAGCAGGTGCGTCAAGCTGCTCTTGGCAATCTGGTGGTAGAAAGTAGGAGATCATCAAGTAGGCAGAGGGAGATGAATCAAATAATCAGGACAAGGGGGAGAAGCACGAGACTTGCCCTTTCTTACAAACGTTCCCTTATAAAGCAGCAGTGATTCCGCCTAAACCACACCATTCCCTACAGGTTACAATACATCCAACGAAACGTATAACAAATCTCTCACCAGGGGCTCGACCGATGATCCGAGGGCTTCGATGACTCCTGAGCTGAGATCCAGAGCGCACACTATGAACTCCTTGTCGTATGGCGCCCCCGCTGCTGCTGGGTCCTTCTGCGATTGGGAGAGGGCAGTGGGTTGGGGGAGGAGAGGGGGGTGGACGGGAGCTGAGATTCAGAACGCACACGATGAAGTCCTTGTCGTATGGCGCCCCTGCTGCTGCTGGGTCCTTCTGTGAAGGGGGTGAGACGGGAGAGGTTCAAAGCACAAAAAAGAGGTGGGGAAAGATGTGAGCTGAGGTCTAGAACGCACACGATGAGCTCCTTGTCGTATGGCGCCCCCGCTGCTGCTGGGGCCTTCTGCGATGGGGGGAAAAAGGCAGCGGAATGGGGGAGAGGGGGGGCCAAGACATGGAGGGAGGAAGGAAAATGGGAGCTAAAACTCACCATCCATTAGCCTATGGAGAAAAGGCGGGAGCCTGAGCGCATATCCCTCCCCAACCCACAATAGCCCTCTTCATCTCATGGCACCCTTCTCCACCGCGCTGCATACCTGTGCCACGAGCTGCACTCTGATGATATGGCAGCAGCGGGCCAGCACCGTCTCAGCATAGGGAGCAAAACGTGGGGCCCAGGGCCTGAGCCACACACAACCCATGCTGTGAACCCCGTCACCGCATTTCAACCTTCTACAGGGAATACATACCCCGCCATCCCCTCTCTTACCTGTGCTACCAGCTGCACTCTAATGATATGGCAGCAGCGTGCAAGCACCGTCTTGGCATATGGAGCAAAGGCGGGGCCCAGGGCCTGAGCCACACACAACCCATGCTGTGTATTTTTGAGACGTCTCAAAAACGTGGGGCCCAGGGCCTGAGCCGCACACAACCCATGCTGTGAACCCCGTCACCGTATTTCAACCTTCTACAGGGAATACATACCCCGTCATCCCCTCTCTTACCTGTGCTACCAGCTGCACTCTGATGATATGGCAGCAGCGGGCCAGCACCGTCTCAGCATAGGGAGTAAAACGTGGGGCCCAGGGCCTGAGCCACACACAACCCATGATGTGAACCCCGTCACCGTATTTCAATCTTCTACAGGGAATACATACCCCGTCATCCCCTCTCTTACCTGTGCTACCAGCTGCACTCTAATGATATGGCAGCAGCGTGCAAGCACCGTCTCGGCATATGGAGCAAAGGCGGGGCCCAGGGCCTGAGCGACGGAGGTGAAACACTCGAGCAGTGGGAAGATGTCACGATCGAAGTCAGAGATCTGCTGCCACTTGGCTGTGAGAGGCGGCATTAAAACTGCGATGTAACGCGGCTGGTAGGGGAAGGGAAGGGGGGGCAGGGTGGGTGGGTATAGAGAGAGGTGAAGCACTCGAGGAGTGGGAAGATGTCGCGATCAAAGTCGGCGATCTGCTGCCACTTGGCTGTGAGCGGCAGCATTAAAACGGCGATGTAACGCGGCTGGTGAGAGAAGAGGGGAAGGGGAGGAGGGGTGGAGGGGGGAAGGGGAGGAAGGGTGCAAGGGGAGGAAGGGGGGACGGGAAAAGGAGGGGAACGAAGAGGGGCGGGAGCATTTGAGAAGCGCACATGGTATCATAACCATCATCACAAATCCTGAGACGTCTCAGAAATAGATGCATCTCAAGCCCCTCAACTATAATCAACACATCTTGCACTACACTCCACCCCCATACAGCGTCATACTGCCCATACAGCCACTCACATCTTGCAGCGTACCCCCCACACAGTCCGCCAGAGTCCCCACTGCGTCGTACAGAATGCGCAGGTTGCGCCGCTGGCAGCAGGGAGGGTAGGGCAGATAGGGTGGGTGGGAAAGCGACACGAGATGAGTGCAAAGCAAGGACAATGAGACAGGCACAGTCCGCCAGAGTCCCCACTGCGTCGTACAGAATGCGCAGGTTGCGCCGCTGTGAACAAGGCAAGGGGTAAGAGAGGGGAAAGGAGGGGCAAGAGAGGGGTAAGAGAGGGGTAAGAGAGGAGTAAGAGAGGATCCCATACAACACAGTCTATTACAATACATGGTTCCATACAATACAGTCTATTACAAGAACCTTCCATATATAGACTTCCGGCGTGCACAGTCATACGGTCTCGAGAAACAGAGGCCCGATTTGTTGAAAAATCCTGATGCCACCCACCTGATGCTATCCCTGAACCTCTGTTGAAATCACCTGGTACTTGCTGAACGCGAAGGCCAGGTGCTGCAGAATGGGCTCCAGGCGATCCGGCAACTCATCCACTGCCTCCTGCTCAGGTGAGAGGTGGGAGAGAGGGGAGAGGGAGAGGGCACATGAGGAAGGGAGGTGCTGGGTCAGCAAGGGCACGTGAGGCAGCAGGCGACGGTAAGAGAGGTGCTGCAGAGTGGGCGATCCAGCAACTCATCCACTGCCTCCTGCTCCGGTGGTGCGGGAGAAGTGGGGGGGAGAGACTAGTGAGAGAGGGGAAGGAGGTGGGAAGAGGAGGAAAGGAGCACATGGCTCTTGAGAAGAAGGTGCTGCAGAATGGGCTGCAGGCGATCAGGAAACTCGTCCCCTGCCTCCTGCTCAGGTGAGGAGGAGGATGGGGGGAGAGGGAGAAGTGGGGAGAGAGATAGGGGAGACCGGGGAAGGAGGTGGGAAGTGGAGAGGGGAAGGAGCAGATGGTTCAGTAACAGAGGTGCTGCAGAATGGGCTCCAGGCGATCAAGCAACTCATCCACTGCCTCCTGCTCAGGTGGAGGGGGTGTGAGGGGTGAAAACGTGGAGAAGGGAAGAGGTCACGAAGGTGTTAGAGGGGGAATGCAGTTGGTTCTTTAGGAGACGTGTTGTGGACTCCCTCACCCCCTCTCACCTCTTCCAGTGTCGCGAACGCGGAGCAAGCAGCCTCCTGAACGCGCTTGTTGTTGTCCAAAATCCTCGCCAGGAACCCAGTCAGCACCACTCACCTCTTCGAGAGTGGCGAACGCTGAGCACGCAGCCTCCTGCACTCGCTTGTTATTGTCCAAAATCCTTGCCAGGAACCCAGTCAGCACCGCGTCGAACTGCTGCTGCCCCTCGGGCTTATCAACGGCGCGGGCGATCCACTTGGAGTAGCGCGACAGCGTCCAACACGTGATGCTGCGCACCAGCGGGTGCGGGTCCTCCAGGTAGAATCCCTGTCTGCCTGCCTGTGATGTGACGTGCTGTGTGCTCTGCTCACCTCTTCGAGAGTGGCGAACGCTGAGCACGCAGCCTCCTGCACTCGCTTGTTATTGTCCAAAATGCGCGCCAGGAACCCAGTCAAAACCGCATCAAACTGCTGCTGCCCCTCGGGTTTATCCACGGCGCGGGCGATCCACTTGGAGTAGCGCGACAGCGTCCAACACGTGATGCTGCGAACCAGCGGGTGCGGGTCCTCCAGCAGGGGCAGCAGGTGCGCGATCATCTGCGGCAGCGCAGGCAGCAGCCCGTCAATGCAGCCCTCCGCCACGGCCCCAACAGCCAGCACTGACGCCTCCCGCTCCTTCCACTTGCCCTCGCTTCGGTCTGCAAGATTCGTCTGGAGGGTGGGGGCGAAGAGAAGGGGAGGGGGGGGTGAATGGAGGGAGAGAGGGAAGAAGGGACTAGAGGGCTTAGATTGGGTAGAGAGTAGAGGGATAGAGGGCTTAGAGGACGGGCTAGAAGGGATAGAAGTCCTAGAAGCGATGAGAGCGCAACACACCTGGATGAGCGGCATGAGGATGGGCAGCAGTGAGTTCCCAAAGACGTGCGAGAGGATGTGCAGCCCTGCTGTGTTTTGAGTCGACTCAAAGCGTGTTTTTTGAGAATTCTCAAAAAACACGCTCTGTGTTTTGAGTCGACTCAAAACACACCTGCTGCACTGCACTCGAGGGGATCAAGGGGCTAGAGCAGCCAGAGCGACTGGAGGGACTAGAGGGGTTAGAAGGCCTAGAGGGCTAGAGGTACTAGAAGGATTGAGAGCGCAACACACCTGGATGAGCGGCATGAGGATGGGCAGCAGCGCATCTCCGAAGACGTGAGAGAGGATGTCCAGGCCTGCTGCACTGCACTTGCGCAGATTCCACGTGCTCGCACTCTCATCGTAATCCTCCTCCGCATCCTGGTTATCGATAAGGGAGGGTAGGTGTAGGCACGCCGCACGTGTTGACTTTTGAGTCGACTCATAAGTCAACTTTTGAGTCGACTCATAAGGGAGGGTAGGTGTAGGCACGCCGGGGTAGGTGTAGGCACGCCGCACGTGTGTGGAGAGAGGGTGAGGGGGGAGGGAGGGGTTGAGCCAATAAGATGCACTGCTTCCAAGCGGAACAGATAGAGTCACTATGGTTAACTGGGAAGCTGCAGGCAAGATCCTAAATGAATCTGAGGACCCTGAAGTCATCTCAGGCTCAATCAAATGAGAGGATGTAGGAAGGATGTTCTTAACGGCAAACGCAACTTCAGCCGATCAAAGTCGTTCTCACCTCGCCATTGGCACCATGCAGCCTGGACTGATGGAAGCGCGGCTTGAGATCCTGGGGGGAGTAACACACAGGGAAGAGGAAGCGTGTGGTTGAGTGTTTCGAGAGTTCTCAAGAACCGCCCAGTTGAGACATGTAGGAAGGAAGGAAAGATAACGTGAGGAGAGGGAAAGAAAAGGAGTGAAAGACGAGAGCCTGACAGTTTAAATGAAACGAAACAAGGTCACCCAGGGAAAACATGGTCTTTCTCTCACCTGATCAGAGTCGGGTGCATCTCCTTCATCCTGTGAGGGGCACATCAGCAGCATCATAGGAAACGTAGGGGTCGCATGGCAAGACAGGAAACACAAAATTTTGAGGCAAGATTGGACGTTAAAGTCAGTCAATTCGACTTCTGAACGAGCAACGTGTAAGCAAGCATGCAGTAAAAAAACTCTGCGCTAACTTGCTTCTTGTAACCGCTTTGCTCGGTAACAGCTCCAAAAAAACCGAGCCTATTTGCAACACCCCACGCATCCCATGCATATATCATAAACCCCATACAACACCCCATGCACCCCATGCATCACCGCATGCATGGCCCTATGCATGACTCCATCCGCGTCCTCATGCATGCTTCATATCGCACCTCAGCATCGATGACTGCCTCATCGTCATCTGCATACACCATGTTCGTCAACAGCACCTGTGTAGAGCAGAGAAGAACACACGTGCACACATACACACACAAACCATGCATGCGTGGTGAGAACTAGAAACTTTGCAATGTAGCATCGATGACTGCCTCATCGTCATCTGCATACACCATGTTCGTCAACAGCACCTGTGTGGGACGGAGAGGAACACACGTACGTACGCACAAAGAGACACAGATTTGTGGTGAGGAATAGAACTTAGAGAATCTCTCAGCATCGATGACCGCCTCGTCGTCATCTGCAGACACCATGTTCGTCAACAGAACATGTGTGGGAGCAAGGAGTGGCACGCACACACACACACACACAAACACACCGACACACGCACACACTTGCGTGGTGAGGAATGGGACTTTGAGAATCCCTCAGCATCAGTGAAAGCCTCATCGTCATCTGCATACTTGGTCGAGGGGACATGGCTCGCATGGCTCACATAGTCGAGGGGACATGGCTCGCATGGCTCACATAGTCGAGGGGACATGGCTCGCACTCACATGTAATGGGCCGATTCGGAGGGAGAAAGGAACGGGGAATGAAACGCTGAAGATTGAAATGACCTGGAGAACTTCTGGATGCTCAGTCCTTGCCGAACGAGCAAGATTCACTCACATTCGCTTTGCATGCATCGAGCCATCTCCAAAAAATATGGTGTACACAAAATAGGTGAGTCGGCAATGGATGAGGAGGGATGTGGGCGTGTGTGAGGGAAGGAGGAACGAAACAGGGAGAAACAAGCTGCAAGCACGTACCGTCACGAGCTGGGGCAGGAACTCCCGCAGCATCTCGGGCGACTGGTTGTTCTCGCAGTAGGCGGACCAGAACTCACACGCCTCCAGAGCCACATCGGGGTCCGAGTCCCGCGTGGATGCGAGCATGTACTCGATCACATTGCGCATGTGCGGCTGGGGGGTTGGGGGAAGGGGGTTTTAAGGGACAAGGGGGGGGGTGTGTGGGAGGAGGAAGAGGAAAAAGGAAGGATGTTTCAGAGTCCCGCGTGGATGCGAGCATGTATTCGACCACATTGCGCATGTGCGGCTGCGGGATGGAGCAGGGAGGGAAGGAGAAAGTGGGGTTAAGAGCGGACCAGAACTCGCAAGCCTCGAGAGCCACATCGGGATCAGAGTCTCGTGTGAAAGCCAACATGTACTCTTATCACATTGTGCATGTGCGGCTGGGGGTAGGGTAGAGAGGTGGAGCAGGGGAAGGGGGATATAGACGGATGATTCAGACGCGTGTGGATGCGAGCATGTACTCGATCACATTGTGCATACGTGGCTGGGGGGGGAGGGGGGTTGGACCATAGGAAGAGGGAGAAGGAAGAGGGGGGGGGGGTGGGGTAAGAGGAGGAGATTGGGGGAATAAAAGGATGCGAGCATGAGCTCTATCAAATTGTGCATGTGCAGCTGGGGGAGACAGGTCAGCAGGGAGGAAGAGGGGGGATTAGGGAGGTAAGGCGTGCTTACTCAGTGGAAGGTGCCTAAGACGGAGGGTGCTTAAGAGGGAAGCTGCTTAAGAAGCAAGGTGCTTAGCTTACCAGGAGGAAGGAAGGTTGCAACTCGATAAGCTGGACCACAGCCGAGCACACCTGCAGTCACACACAACCAGCCACAGGATACACAGGTGACAGGATAACCTGGATATGGGGGCACACGTGGTAAGACCAGATTTTGCCAGCAGATATCGAGTTCCAGCACAGGAAGAGGACAGACGGACGTGGTGAGAAAAGGAGGGGAGCGAGCACTGGCGAGGACTCTCGCCAGGGGCAACAATTGAAACACAATATTCAAAGCAACGGCATCAAAAACCGCACGAGACAGGGGCGTTAAAAACAGCACAAGACACGGACGAAAGAAACTAAAAGTTTCCTGTAGGTGCCTGTGCTGTGCTCATTGCTGGGAGCGGGTTCATTTCTGAAAGGGGTGGGGTTTCATTGCTTGAGGGGGAGGGGGAGGGGGTTCATTGCTGAGAGGGGGTCATCGCTGGCGGGGGGGGAGGAGGGGGGGGGGGGGGGGGGGGGAGGGGAGGTCATTGCTGGAAGGGGGTCATCGCAGGGGAGAGGGGGCGGGTGTCATCGCTGGGCGGGGGGGTGTCATTGCTGAGAACAGTGCTGGTGCTAGGGACTCACCAGCCTGCGGACTTCTGGGATGGGGTCGGATCCGAGAGCAAAGAGGCCCTGCAGATAGCTGTCCATGTTCACCAGCAGCACCTGGCGGTGCGGGGGGGTCATGGGGTTTGGAGAGGGAGAGGTGGGTGAAATGAGGAGTTTGTCACTGAGGGGTCTCAAATTGGGTTTCCGGGATGGGGTTGGATCCGAGCGCAAAGAGGCCCTGCAGATAGCTGTCCTGTCCATGTTCACCAGCAGCACCTGCAGGTGGGCGGATGGTGGGGGATGGGGGGAGGTGGGGGAAGGAGGAGTCTGTAATCAGGTGCCTCCAAGCGAGCTTCAAGGATCGGGTCGGATCCGAGAGCGAAAAGGCCCAGCAGATAGCTGTCCATGTTCACCAGCAGCATCTGGAGGTGTGGTGGGGGGGGTGCGGGAGGAGGTGAAGGAGGAGTCTGTTTTCTAAGGTGCCCCAAAACGGACTTTGAAAGGGGTGGGGGGGAGGGAGGATAGAGGGAGAAGCGGAGCGGAGGTAGGGGTGATCCCAAGGGCTCCCCAAAATCCTTCCAATCCCAGAAAACATAGCACAAGAACAAGATGCGTTGGAAGGAGGAGGCGTGTGCAGCTCACTCACCCTGTGCATGTGCTATGAACCACCCAGTCCTCCCCAGCACCCTCCCTGTGCATGTGCTATGAACCACCCAGTCCTCCCCAGCACCCTCCCTGTGCATGTGCTATGAACCACCCAGTCCTCCCCAGCACCCTCCCTGTGCATGTGCTATGAACCACCCAGTCCTCCCCAGCACCCTCCCTGGGCATGTGCAGAACGAACTGGTTCACACTTCCCAGCGCCATTTCCCTCAGGCTTGCGTGTGGTGAGGCGAGAAAGCTATTGATGCACTACCCTCCCACCCACCCAGGATCCATCCTTGGTTGGCAGCAAAGCACCAGGGACGCATTCCCCTCCCAGCACCCACCCTGGGCATGTGCAGAACGAACTGGTGCACGCTCCCCAGCGCCATTTTCCTCAGGCTGGCGTGCGGCGAGGCGAAGAGCTGCAGCAGCATCGCTACATGCGCCCTGCGCGACCCCAAAGACCAGTGGCCACCCACCCAACTCACGGCATGTGTGGTGTGAGTGATTCATTCACTGCCCACTCCCGAACGTCACTCACCCGCGGCATGTGCAGAATGAACTGGTTCACGCTCCCCAGCGCCATCTTTCTCAAGCTGGCGTGCGGCGAGGCGAATTGCTGCAGCAGGCGCGGCAGGAAGACGGTGATGGGACGCTCTGCCAGCCCGGGGATGTCCCTGTCAAGCTGAAGCGGCATGTCCTCGCTCATCTGAGAGGTGCAGAGAGGTGGGGTTCGGTTGAGGATGGGTTGAGGTTCAAAGGGGGGGGGGTTGGGGCGGGGTACGAGGGGACAAGAGAGGCAGGAAGACGGTGATGGGGCATTCTGCCAGGCCGGGGATATCCCTGTCAAGTTGAAGCGGCATGACCTCGCTCATCTGAGGGGTAGAGAGGGGTGGGGTCGGGTTTGGGATGGGTTGGGGGTGGAAGGAAGGGGTTTTAGGGGGGGGTACGAGGGGATCATGAGGCAGGAAGACGGTGATGGGGCGTTCTGCCAGGCCGGGGAGGTCCCTGTCAAGTTGAAGCGGCATGTCCTCGCTCATCTGTATATGGGGGATAGAGGGGGGTTGGGAAAGAGGGGATGAAAATCAATGTTAAGGTGCTTCATTCTGCCAGGCCAGAGATATCCCTGTCGAGCTGCAGTGGCGTGTACTCGTCCATCTGAGGGGTGGAGGGAGGTGTGGGTATGACGAAGGAGCAGGCGCGGCAGGAATACGGTGATGAGGGGAAGTGGGGGGGAGGGGGGCTACGCTAACACACCTTAAACAGATCATCCAATGCCTCTCCCACGTGGCTGAAATCGTTCGAATCACGACACTCCAGCATGATTGACAAGGCCAACGGACTCGATACAAGCAAATTCAGTCACGGACCTTAAACAGAGCATCCAGCGCCCCTTCCATGTGGCTGAAGTCGTTCGAATCCAAACACTGCAGCATCACTTGCAGGAGGTCCGTCCACGCGTGCAGCCCGCCCTGCTGCTCCACAATGCACGATATAACGGTGCCCACTGTAGCGCGTAACTGGTGGTCCGGGAGGCCTATGCAGGGTAACAAAAGCGCTTTGATGTAGGCCAGATAGGCTGGGTTCAGGTTCTCGTAGCCGGTTCTCAGGTTGTTTTTCAGGAGAAGACCCGCGCTCTGACGGACCTCCACTGGTTGGTTCTGCAGAGGAGGACGCGGAGAGAGGGGGGAGGGGGGAGAGGAGAGGGGTGAGTGGGGTTGTGAAAGGGATAAAACTTTTAGAAAATGATGCAAATAAACGACTACGCAAAGCACCCTGGAACTACGACAACGGTCACTAAGAGGGGATGCTTAGGGTGTTACATGCGCGATGATTGAGAGCCATGGGGAGCAAATCAGTCACGCTGCAGGATCGAGCAGCGAAGCGATCGGCGCGTGAGCAATAAGCACATACTGACGCTTCGAGACCGAGATCGCGTAATGATTAGTTAATCGATTCGCGTAACGATCAAGCGGGATCGCATAGCAATCAGTCGGATCGCGATACGACCGAGCGACATGAGGCTCGGCACCAAGGGTTCAAACGGTCAAACTTGAATTTATGAACGACTATTCACCTTTGATCGACTAACAACCCCGTATGCTACGTTGACGAATGTCTAAAGCTGCACCTGCAACTCCCTGATGCTACATTCACCAAACCTTCGAAATAAAATGACTAGATTCTTAATGCTCGATCGGCTTCAGTAAGACCGAAGACTTGAGAAAACCTTATGAACTAAGTAACACGCTGGGCTGGGCCTCGAACGAAACATGTAGGAAAAATATAAAGAAACCAAATATACTCGGGTCGCGCATGTACTCGTACTTTTTGTTTGCTTGCCGTCGTACAATGCACGGCAACTTCGCAGATCCCCCACACAACAGGGAATGCGATGCAGTCGCTAATACAAATAAACCTATCATCTCCCAAATATTGCGGGAATGGCGGTTGCACACCTCTCCCTTGCACAGAAGGAACGCGAGATAGTTGTTGAAATCGGGAAATTGGCTGCATCGCTGCAGTTCCTGGAAAATTCGCGCCTGATCGACCCCTGGTTTGAGGTACTCGTGCAGCAGCGTGCAGATCTCGTTTGCTCCCTGCTCCGACGGCTGCCATGCTGCCGCTTCCGCCATTACTCAAATGCAATCTTAGGAGTTAAGCTAAGACAATTAAGCTCGGTTCAGACGCAACGAGGATCAGCAGGAAATTACGGAACTGAGAATACGAAATGCCGAAATGACCCTGATTTCGGTGCCAGTGACGGTCAACCGAGTAGTAAGAAACGCGAGCTACCACCTTCACTCTAATAAATCTCGAACTTGCATCGAAGTGAAGTTCAATTGGTGGTAGGTGCTTCTTGGGAAAAGAAGGCTCGAAAGAGATGCCTGATCAAAACAAGCTTGAAAGTTCCGAAGGATGTAACAGCGACGGAGAATTAGAGCAGCTCTATTCGCTGACGTTGTAAAATTGTGGTGAAGGCAGTAACGCGTATGTAGACGGATTACGAGTTCCTCAACCACTTCTGACGCCTACCGTCCAAAAGCCCGCGCAGATTTGTTGGGTGTCAGTTGTTTGAGACCTTCCGATTATTGAGATGGTTCCGGTGCTCCATGCGAGCGATACATGGAGAACATACAGCGACGGGAAATTCACGAATCTCTGCAGCTATATCACAGCTCAATAAGGAGTTGCGCGTTTTGAAAAAAATCTAGCGTGGTACTTTCCAGTTTTGTGCACAATAAAACATGCACTCTACTCATACAGATTGCAACAGTACATGTATTTTGCTTAGACTAACCTTCGAAGAAGCGAATGAAATACGAGATGGCAGACAACAAGATGTGAGGAAGGAAAAAGAAGAATGTGATGAACGCAAATGCAGTGCTAGCCTTGGTCCTTGAACAAAACCTAGAATATGGTGACGGTCCAACACATGGAGCATAGTTGAACAGCACTATTCCCCGATCATTGAACGTGGTTACTGCTGCTGCGGCAGCTCCCGCACTGAGGGCAACCAACGCCATAAGCTGCCCCAGAGCATGCAACAACAAAACACAAGCCAATAAGTATTATGACAAGAGAAGTAAACTTCAGCATGTGATGGGAGCAATGACTGGGTGATAAAGGGAGCAGGACTTACAATGTCCATGAGATAGATGAGCCCTCGCCAAATCAGAGATCTGAGCTTGTGGCCTGTGGCAAGTTGGAGCAGCTCTATCAGCAGCATGAGGAGAGACCAGGCAGCTGTTATGACCATGCCTGCCAGCAGGTAGCGAAAGGCCTGGTACCTCTGCAAGAGACGAAGAAAAAACAGAAGAGGCAACATTCGTTAGAAAAAAGAAGAACAAGAAAAAGTTCATACGAAAAGGAGTGGGTGCTGGCATAAATGAACCAGAATTTTGCCTGTTTGAAACATAATCAGAGCACTACGAGAATAGAGAAGGCGAGGAAATAAGTGCACGTAGGGGCTTGGTAATGGATAGCCACTCTGAAAGCGAGGCCATCTATTGAAATTTCCTAGCACAGATATACAGGAGTGCAGATATGGTACAAAGAAGCAGATAGCGCTAAGGGGTGGATGTTTACTCTGAAGTAGAGGTCCAGGTGGCCTGCTTTGAGAAGGACTACAAAGGATATGACAGATGACGCCAGCTGAAGGAATCTGCACAGGAGAGACTGAATCAGCTGTATGGCATGCATCTTGATGGCATTGAGATTTTACGGTTGCAGAAAGCAAAAAAAAAAAAAAAAAAAAAAAAAAAAACAACAACAACAACAACAACAAATGAAGAAAAAAAAGACGTCTCAAGACTGTCATGATGATGATGGTCGGAGTAATTTAGCTTCAAGAAGAGACAGACCTGAATAAAACCGACACCCATTGATCAGGAGACCTCCGTTTTTCGTCCACCTGTTTAGCCAGCGTTCCTGTAGCCGCTGCTTCCCCCGTTGGTGCCGGCCTCTCTCCTTCTGGCACCATCTTTACAATTGTTTACTTTCAAAATTGCAAAGTCAAAGTAAACAATCGTCCCCAGAACTCCCTAGCGCCTGAAAAAGAGCTAAACAAGTATGAGGGAGCAGAGCCACAGCCGATTATAGGAGCGGTTACTAAGCTGAGGGTCGGAACTGCTGAGCGTCTGTGGTCCAAACAGACGAGAGGTGAGACGAAGAACGACGGGAAATTGAATGTCCAGAAATGACGAATTGCTCACACCGCAACTGAAGTTTTATCACTGATGCCTGAAACATGAAATCTAATTTCCTCCACACCCATCCCAACCGTTTTTCCACTCTCCCAACCAGCTCCTTGTTCTCCCAACTAAACGCCATGCAAGCCTTCTCGTGATGCCCGAACAGCTGGTTCATGCTGCCGTGGGCATGTTACCATTCGCAAAATATGCTCGCTTAAAAGTTGCGAATGTAACACAGCCTCTAGCCCAATGACAGCTGCTCGTCTCGTGCGCGAAGCACACGTGTAATGCAGCAGGGCAAGCATCGCGTGCGCGCACCGTTCCCCTTGCGAGAGTTACGACGAATGTAGCTTCCGAATTCGCGCCTCGTCGCTTTAAAATTCACGCTCTAGTCAAGAACAGAAGTTCACAAGCCTGTGCATGCACTCTTCTCCCTCCCTGCTCCCTCCCCTCGTTTTTCCCTCCTCACCTCCCTCTCTCAACGACCCTTCATCTGCCACCACCAATTCTGGCGTTTCTTGCTGTCTGGCGGCCATAATTCCGTTTCCACCAGGTACCTACCTTCATTCCCAGACACATACGTCCTCCAGTTTCCAGATTTCGACTACGCAAGCCTTTTGCCCAATTGCTTTTTCTGTTTCCATCCTTCCTGAGTAGCATCTTCTTCCTAGCTTGACAACTCCACTCCTTTCTCTGCACTGCAACCGGTGTCAGAACATCTAAACTATGCTCACCTGCCCCTGCTGTTCATTCTCCAGACGCCCCTGAACTCCTTCACTCTTATCTTTTCTGAAGCTAGCATAAACAAACAGAAAAATCCCTCACACGGCTTTGCTCACAGCCTTCCCTCCAGAGCACTCAGCATGGAGACTCAAGCAGGCCGACCGGAGCCGTCCGGTTTCCGCAACAAACGTCCGCAAAAAGCCGCCCAGTGGATCAACCCTCTGCTTCGCTTCCTGCAGCTAGCAGCTGCTGTGTCTGCCTTCCCCGTGATGATCCGGGCGGGTGCAGGGCTGTTGTGGTTCTCCAATTGGCAGGCCTTTTCGTTTCTTATAGCGGGGACGGTTATAGCGGGGTTCTGGGCGCTGCTGATGCTGCTTCTGGACTGCTTCCTGGCAGCTTCCGGGAAGCTGCTTCACTCGACGGCTCTGCTCTGGGCCATTGTGATTGGCGACTTTGTAAGCTACACCAGCTTTCAGCATATAAAACTTCTAGCTGCCTAACAGCTTCCAGCACACCCTCCCGTTTCATGTGCTCCTGCTACAATAGAGTGCCCCTCCCTGCTCTTTACCCTCCCCCATTCCCATTGCTCATATGCTGTACCCCCGTCCTGTTTCACCATGCCCGCCCTGCTGGTGGTCCAGCCACTGCCCACACCATTCTGCTTGGAACCCTCTGCTGCTGCTGCTGCTGCCCGAGCTACAATCCCCAATCCTCGTTCCCAGCCCTGTGACTTCCCAGCCTACTGACAGTCCACTGCCATCCCCTTATCCTGCGCTCTTACCCTGAAACGTGGAGCCTGCCAGGTCATCCCTTCACACCTACCTGCACCCACTTGCATTCATTTGCACCCCTGAATCCCCCCTACCATTCTACCACGATTGGCTCTCTCCATGGCCCTCGGTGGCAGTGCTGCCACGGCTGCCTTGACCACTCAACGATCAGGGCTTGGTAGGCCGCCCTTTCATCTGCACGGGGTCAACCCCCTTCTACACTGTCTGTGCCTGCACCCAAACGTTTTCCTCTCCGCGTTCCTCCCCTCCCCCACCCCACGCTCTTTCCACACACACACATCTCCTGCAGATTGCTCTATCCATGGCTCTGAGTGCCGGTGCTGCCACAGCTGCCTTGACCACCCTCAACGATCAGGGCCTGCCCGGCCGTCCCTTCATCTGCACGGGGTCAACGCCCTTCAACACCTTCTGTGCCCGAGTTGACTTTTGAGTCGACTCAAGGGTCAACGCCCTTCAACACCTTCTGTGCCCGCACCCAAGGCATTCCCCCCTCCATGCCCGTGTTCCCTTCCCTCCCCCCTCACAGATTGCTCTATCCATGGCCCTCAGTGCCGGTGTCTCCCTCTCCATGTCGTGTCTCCCCCCCCCCCCTCACAGATTGCTCTATCCATGGCCCTCAGTGCCGGTGCTGCCACGGCTGCCATCACAACTCTCAACGACCAGGGTCTGCCCGGCCGTCCCTTCATTTGCACGGGGTCGACGCCCTTCAACACCTTCTGTGCCCGCACCAAGGCTGCTGCCGCCATGGCTCTCATCTCTGCTGCCTTCTTCCTGCCCTCGCTGCTACTCAGTGGTGCCAGACTAGCTTCCGAGTACTATGAAGAAGATGATTAGTGTGTAATTCGCCTGATTGTTTGCACCAAGACAGCTGCAGCCATGACTCAACTCTGCTGCCTTCTTCCCGCCCGCTCTCGCTGCTATTTGGCAGTGCTAGACTAGAGAAGTATGAGAAAATGATTAGTCTTGAGAAAAAACAGGAAAATCGTTGGGAAGGCTTTATGATCTCTCGGCACTAGGCTAGCTTCTGAACACGAGAAGGGGATATGTAGAACTGGAAACACTGTTTTTGAGCTCTTAAACTGTTGGCTGGGGGCTTTTCCTTAACTGCTTGGCGTAATCAGCTGCAGTAACGTCCCTCACCCACCCGTCCCATTCCTCTGCAGCACTGACCTCTCGGCAGGTCCGGCCAAACTCGGACCTCTCGTGCAGGTTCGGATACATGTTCTTGTGCATCTCACTGTACACAATATGCTCCCCCCCATTGTCTGTCTCTCTCACGTCATAGTAGCCCAAGACCCCAGCCTGCACGGAATAGGGGAAATGGGGGGTATTGAATATGTGCAAACGGAAATAGTGCAAAGGGAATACCAATTTAATTGTTGTTATAAGAACTACGGATGGAATTGGTGTAACGGAATTCACAAGTGAGCATGTGCTCTAGGATATTATTTGATATAATGCTGTAGGAAGTATCAATGGAAGTGGTGCTATAGCAGGTTTCAAAAGGAAACAGTGCTATAGGGAGTGCCAGTGAACGTGGGTACTCCCCCAAACCCTCACACACATTCTCCCTCCGCCTATACACTAGCCACTCCACCACAAACAGACTCTTCTTCCTCCCCATCCACTCCTCTTGCCATCAATGATCTATCAATACAGCCCCCTCACTCCACTCCCACACACCCCACTCTCACACATCTCACTCCCACACACTCCGCTCCCACACACCCCAACCCCATGCATGCCACTCATGCACGCACCTTTCTCGGATTAGTGAAGTGCGATCGCTGCCCCTCCTTCCCGATGCACTTCTCCCGATCCTCCCTACCCCCCTCACACACATTCTCCCTCCGCCTATACGCCAGCCACTCCACCACAAACGGACTCTCCTCCCTCCACCCCATCCATTCCTCTGTCGTAACATTCTCCCATACGATCCCCTCCCGGCATTTCTCGGTGCTCCACTCGTGTGCCCCGAAGGTTAGCCAGGGCTTGGATGCGTATTGAGCGAGGAAGGAGAGGAGGGTGTGTGGGGGGGAGATGTAGAGGTAACTGTCGGGTGGTAACACGGTTACCCACTGGGATGTGAAGTGTGTGCTGTAAAGGCAGTCTAGGGCGCTGAGGGACTGGAAGGGGGGAAGGAGGTAGGGGAGGGGAGGGAGAAGCAATGGGGGAAGTTGGGTGGGAGGAGAGGGGGGAGAGGGGGGAGAGGGGGGGGAGAGGGAGGAGGAGGGAGAAATGTTGTTAGTGATGGGTAGCACTATCAACGGCTGAGATCTGAAATGTGTGCTGTAGGAGGCAATCTCGGGTGCCTTGGGAAAAGTGCGATGGAAGGGTGACGGCAGGGGGAGTAAAGGGTAGACATTGGGTGGGCAAGGGTGGCAGGAGAGAGAAACAAGGCGCCGAGGGAGGATGAGGGAGGGTGAGAGGGTGTGGAGGAGGGCGAATCGGGAGGGGGAGGGTGGAGGAGGTGGAAAAGGGAGGGTACGGTACTCACGTGCGCGTCGTACTCGATATTGTAAAAGGACAATTGCCGCGTGGGGATGACTTTTAACGAGTCGTTGCGCAGGAAGATCTCGAGGACCGTGGCCAGGCTGAGTGGGCATGGAGGGAGGGAGGGAGGGAGAGCAAAAGAAAGGGAAACAAAAAAGAAGAGGAAAAGGTTGGAGGATAAGATCTCAAGGGGTTTTTGGAAATTTGGACCATCCATGGCTCCAGCGTAACTGGGTGGCCCCGAGGTGCCAGTGGTAGCTCACCCACTCGTGCATGGTCCTCACCTTAGACTTTCTTCCCGAAAACATGGCACTTCCAACAACCTTTTCGCCTCTCATTTACGGCTTTCACTCACCTCTCATCCATGGCGCCAGCATCATAGAGGCGGAATTGGGTGGCTCCCAGGTGCCAGTGGTAGCTCACCCACTCGTGGACGGTCCTCGCCTCCACCTGCCTGCATCCACCCATACAAGCGAGTCCTGGGATATGCCCAAGGTTTCTCACCTCTCGTCCATGGCGCCAGCATCATAGAGGCGGAATTGGGTGGCGCCCAGGTGCCAGTGGTAGCTCACCCACTCGTGGACAAGCCTCGCCTCCACCTGCCGCCCCATGCGGACGGCGCACATCGTCAGGACATGCGGCAGGCCGTCGAAGTCGGGCGGCACAATGGCATGTTGCAAGGCAGAGCTCTCTCTGAGGCAGAGGGACGGGAGGGGTGGAGGGAGGTCGTGCATTCGCAAGGAGGAGATATGTGACAGGTGGTCAAAGTGGGGTGGCACAATGGCATGTTGCAAGGCAGAGCTCTCCTGAAGCACATAGGCAGGTGCGTGTGTGGAGGGTGGGGGGAGGGAGTGGGGAGGGAAGGGGAGGGAGGGGGGAGGGAGGGTGAGGGAGGGGGTTTGTTGAAGGTCTGGGAAGATGGGGGGGACGGATAGAGATGGGACAAGGCAGTCAAAGTTGGGAGGCACAATGGAATAGAAGATAGATAGGGGTGAGAACTTGGAAGGAATAGATAGGGCCATGGAAGGGGGGGAAGGGGGGGAATGGGGACTTGAATGGAAGCGAAAGGGTAGGGGCATGGGAGGAAGCGAGAGACAGGGGCATGTGTGAGGTGGTTTCATGGGAGCAACACTGGGAGGTGAAAAATCAGAAAAAAGACCAGAAACAGAAGGAGCACTGAAAACAACAGAGAACACCTGAGAGCAACAGAAAACACCTGAGAGCAGCAGAAGAATCACCTGAGAGCGAGGAAGGGCTCGCCCGCAATATTGAGAAAGAGGTCGCCACCAGCGTCCCCTGTTGACTCCCCCAACTCGCACTGGGATGGGTGGGTAAGGGGGGACGAATTTCAAAGGCAGGCACATGTGTGGTCTGCTAGAAATAATAAGACTTAGCATCTCATAAGGTCACCTCACCACCTGCATCTCATAAGGTCACTACCTGCATCCCTGGTTGACTCCTCCAACTCGCATTAAGATGGATGAGAAGGAGATGGAGGTGAGGGGATGGGAAAAGCTGATCAACAGAAGCATAGGGGGGTAACACAAGAGTGGTGGGGCAAGGAGGGAGAGGCGGAAAAAAGCTGATGGCTCAAAGATACCGGTGCTGTAACCGTCAGCACTGCACCTCACCAGGACAGATAAATTCCCCACTTCAGGCACACTCCTTAATGAAATTTCCTCCCCATTCCCCTGCTGCCCCTATCCCACCACTGATGGCTCAGCAATACCGCTGCTGTGATCGTCAGCACAGTACCTCACCACGAGAGGAGGGAGGCCCATCAGCGATCAAGTGTGAGCCATCATTGCCATCACATCACATCGCACCATAGTTGAGGCGCCTTAAAAACCATAACCAGTTATGCCATAACAGAGACTCCTCACTTTGCATTGGCAAGGTCAAACGAGTAACAAAATCCTGAAACCAAACCCAACGATATCTCAGAACCCACAAACGCTCCTTGCTCACATCCCCATTCCAAGTATACCCACAAAAAATCTCACTCGCATGACAATCGCACCGTAGTCACTCTCTTCCCGCAGATTGGTGTAGATAATTGTGGGTTCCGCTCCGCCTTCAGCTCTAGCTCCTTGCCTCCTTACGAATATCCCCCTTATGGAGTCAAACTCACTCGCATGACAATCGCATCGTAGTCACTCTCTTCCCGCAGATTGGTGTAGATAATTGTGGGTTCCGCCTTCAGCTCTAGCCCATTGCCTCCCTGCCATAAGCATCTAACAGCGCCCCTGGTGTCACATCACATCACAGCATGCATGCAGTGAAGATTCACCAAAAACAACAGGAATGAAAACAGGCATAAGCATAAATCAAAGGCAGTCTCTCCTTGACAAGCTGCAACCCAAAGTCCATGGCAACAAAAAAGTGGAAACTTGTGATAAAAGTATGCCTACCAGGCTACCGGCTGGCTGGTAATGCATCAATCACAAATGGTTCTTCAGATAATGCACGCTTAAACTCGCAGCAGTGAGAGCGTGGCGATTTTTTTTTTTTTTTACTATTCTTGTTACTAATATTAATAATTATTGTTTTTATTATTCTTATTCTTATTCCTATTCTTATTCTTATTCAAAGAGAGCCTACCAGCTGGTAGTGCATGACACAAGTGGTCCTTGGGAAAATGCGCCCCAAAGGCCACGACAGCGAGAGCACAACAAAGCCTAAAAAAACAAGCTGAATCCGCATGCGGCATGCATCACTCACAGAGCCGCACCACTCACAGATGGTCCTTGAGGTAATGCGCTCCGAAGCCCACGATAGCGAAAGAGCGCGAGGAGAAGCGGTAGGCAGAGAACTGAATGAAGCCGTGGGGGCCGCGGGCGAGTGGGTGGAAGGGGATGGAGGGCAGACCCACGTGCTGCTGCAGCGGCTGTAGCTGCTGCAGGTAGGTGCGATAGCCCTGCCAGGATAGGTTGAAGGGGACTGGGGTGGGGTGAGGGCGCAGAGAGAGAGAGAGGGAGAGGGAGGGGGAAGAGGGAGGGGGGAGAGGGAGGGGGACAAAAAGACACAAGGAGGCAAGACCAGGTAGGATGATGATAAGCAAGGCATAGGCGGAGAACTGAATGAAGCCGTGGGGGCCGCGGGGGAGCGGGTGGAAGGGGATGGAGGGCAGGCCCACGTGCTGCTGTAGCGGCTGTAGCTGCTGCAGGTAGGTGGGATAGCCCTGCCAGGATAGGTTGAATAGGGATGAGCAAGTGGCGAACACGAACGTGTTCGTGTTCGCCCCTACACGAACACCTTCGTTTGCCGAACCGAACACTGTTCGGTTCGGCGAACACTTTGAGCAAAAAATGGTGTTCGCCGTTCGCCTGTGAAGGCGTGTT